TTGATTTATCTCCATAGATTAGTTTGACAGATACGGTCTCATAAAAACTCCAGACAACAAAAGAGCTCAGTGTGAGAGCTTATGAGCTAAGTAGTTATGAGCAGTACTGAAATCAAGCTAGAATGTGTTTCTCAGAGTTATTTTGCAAAGCTTTGTGCTATTGATATTTCTAGAAAAGCAATGGAATAGAAATTTCTGTAACAAAAAGGTGTGACACATTGATAATTGGAAATTTTTCTTTCTGACTTCATGCTACTTTGCATACAGTAGTTTTTAGCATTTTGAAATTACACAGAACCTAAAAGGAACAGTTGTGGAACACATACAACTTAATAATAAAATAGATTTAACCCATTTATTTCCCCATGCCACTAATATTTAAGGGCTGATAAATAAAATGCAGCAACCAAGAAATAAAAAGAAAATGCAATTGCATGCCATAGTGAGCTTATGGAATGTATTGCTTCCTTCTATATGTTCTGTATCATGTTCTCCATTTGAAAAAGCTACTGGAGTATTTTTTAAAAAAACAAAATCAGCAATCATTTATTTATTTATTTATTTATTTATTTATTTATTTATTTATTTATTTTCCAATTTATATACCGCCCTTCTCCCTGAGGACTCAGGGCGGTGTACAGCCAAATAAAAACATAAATTACAAACATTAAAATAGTATTAAAAGAATAAATATAAATTTGGCCCCGTAATTTAAGAACAATACCAAACCCATTTAAAATATTTAAAAGATTAAGAAAAAAAAAATCTTGCCACCAACTATATGAAAATAGATATAGAATGATTCTTCCAAGTAATCATGAATTTTAAGAATGTTTGCCAATCCATTTACACAGCAAACATGTGCATATGTACTCCATTTTTTCTACAGCTTGGAGAAGTACCATCCCTTCTTGTTCTAGGAATCCCTATATAATATGAGTAATCCTCAATTTACAACCACAATTTAGCCCAAAATTTCTGTTGCTAAGTGAAACATATTGAGTTTGCCCCCTTTTATGACCTTTCTTGCCACAATTGCTAAGTGAATCACTGTAGTTTTTAAATTAGTCAAACTGTTGTTAAATGAAACTGGCTTCCCTGTTGATTTTGCTTGTCAGAAGGTTGCAAAAAGGGATCACATGACCTCAGGACACTGCAACCATCATAAATATGAGTCAATTGCCAAGCGTCTGAATTTTGCAACAATGGCCATAAGTGTGGTCATAAGTTACTTTTTTTGGTGCCGTTGTAACTTTGAATGGTCACTAAATGAACTGTTGAAGACTACCTCTACTACCCATTTTATATCTCCCAGAATTCCCAAAAAACATAGTCCTAGACAGGGGGAAATTATTGTATTCCAATACTGCAAGAGTGTTTTTCTACAGAGAAAATATAATTTGTTGACTGTATAGAAGTGTCCTACTTTTCAGTCCTTCTATTTAAAAAGTAATCCAATGGAAATTGTTGCATCCGGATGCCGCACACATGACAAGGACAGAGCAGCCGATTGGCCCAATCGATGGCTACCAGCTGGCGGGAAATGGGCACTTCCTGATTGGCCCAGCCGCTGACAGCTCTGCATATATAAGAGCTGTCAGTGCCTCAGAAGTTGCCTGCTCTCCAAGGTCCTCAGCACCGAGCGGGTCTGTTGTTAGCTGTTATTGTTTAATAAAAGTTCTAATTACCTAGCCTCGCCTCCGTTCTCATACATTGTTCTCAGAACAGAACTGAAATAATAAAATAAACTCATTTGGGAGTTTTACCATTCTAAAAGGAATGCTAAACAGGAAACATAGAGTGACTTCTGCAATGAAAATAGTCTCCTTCAAGAGAAACACATTATATCTATTTAAACTAAAGTAACCCTTCCACTTACACCTATCATACTAAGCAGATGTGAGGAGAAAAGGGGGGGGGACATTTGCATGGTTCAGATCCTTTAAGGTTCCAAGGTGTTGCATTTTGTTTACACCAATGTGCTTGGCTGAATGCTCATTTCCAGTGTTTTACACAGCCCTACTATGCAGCTGAGCTTTGTCACTGAAGAAGTTTCATAAAGACTGAAAAGCTTTGCTTCAGATTCAGGGTGCCAGTAATTCATATCCTGCTTACCATTCATTTGGACTAGCAAAGTTTTCTGGCTGTGTTGCCTTTGGAGATAATCCAAATGCTGCAGCTGATACCAAATGCTGTTGTGAGACTGCTGGCAAGATGCTTCTAATGTACATTTCCATCTATATTAAAGGTGCTACCTTAGTAGCCTTGCTGGTTATTATTTTCAAGGCATTATGAAGCACCCATTTTTATTAGTCAATGCCTTACTAGAATGTCTTTAACCCCGCATACAAATTGCTCTAATAGGGAATCCTCCAAGTCTTTAAACTCACAGTTCAAAGCTGCAGCTCTGAGGGTAGCTATGTATTGGTTGTATAGATTCCCCTTCACCTTGGAGAATCTGCCTGAAGTTGAATCTGCGAGTGATGCCTGAGGGAGTTGGCGCATAGTGATTCTTTAGCTTCTCCCTCAAAACCTCCCAGGGAACCGACTGGACAGGAACAGGGGCCATCAAAGCCATCGCTGTGGTAAACATTTTGGGGCCGCATGAGTTCAAAAAGTGAGCCCTTTTTCGGCTGCTGGTCAGGCCTGTGTAGTCGTTTGCCTCAAGGAAGCATTCAAAGCGGGCTTCGTATGAGTTCCAGGTCTCAGTCAGCGGGTTGAAGGGAGCGAAAGTTGGAGGTGCCATCCTGACAAGGACGGGGTTCTAGTTCTCAGCGAAGCTGTTTGGGCAACGTATTGTCGCAAGTGACTCAGATGGCCCTTGGCTAACACGGCCAGCTTCAGCTCGTAGTGACTTAGCTACCTGTCACCTCACACCCGTAATCCCATCCTCGTCGCCAGTGCTCTGTAGAGCGACGGTGGGCAATAACTGAGGCAAGACAGGTGTAAACAGAACAGAGGTTTATTGCTAACAGCTAACAGAACAGCTTCAGAACTAGAACAGCAACTCAGGCGTTTGACAGCTATTTATACAGTAGCTGTCAAACCTCCCAACCAATAAGGCGGGTGGAATTCTCCTGCCGGCTCTTGGTGTGTCTTAGCCAATGGGAGCGCTGCGTCGTATGTCCGAGGACCAGTCGTAAGTCTGAGGACTTAACAGATTCTGTTTTTCTAATCATCTAGCAAGGGCCTGTTGAAAATGTCCCATCCCTGCAAAGTAGATAGTGTGTGGCAGAGGTGGGTTTCAGTGGGTTCTGACCAGTTCTAGAGAACTGGTAGTGGAAATTTTGAGTAGTTTGGAGAACCGGTAAATACCACCTGACTGGCCCCGCCCCCATCTATTCTCAGCCTCCCAAGTTCCAGCTGATCGGGAGGAAATGGGGATTTTGCAGTAACCTTCCTCTAGAGTGGGGTGGGAATGGAGATTTTACAGTATCTTCCCCTGCCACGCCCACCAAGCCACACCCACCAAGCCACACCCACAGAACCGGTAGTAAAAAATTTTGAAACCCACCACTGGTGTGTAGACATTACTTTGTTTGTATAATCTCCATCCTGTGGAATACTTCCCCTGCAAAATATATTCCCAAAATTAATTAAATATATTTTATTTCAGTGAGCCTTTGGCCCTGGCCAATAGGTCCAGAACATTTATTTTGGTTTTGTATCAGATGTTACTGTTATAGGTTCGTGTTCTCTTTTGCTTACTTGTTTTTATGGATTATTTTTTACTGTGTGCTGTGAGAGGTCCTTTGGATTGAAGCAGTTATTAAACAAATATTTTCATTAATACAGATCAAGCCAAAGCATGCTGTGTTCATAGACACGTGGAATGCCCTATGCACTAACAGCAGGCAGATTATTAATCAAAGAATAACTCCACATGTTCTTTGGAAACAAAAATATTGAGTGAAGTATAGTAACATAATTTTATTAAATGCTTTTCTTGGTAAACCTTTTCCTTTTCCTTTGATATAAGACTTGTGTAGAAATGTATCGTGTGATTTAATCTCAAAAGTAGTTCAAAAGACTGCCTATTGTTCAGTATATTTTAATTCGATATATGCCATATACAATAGTTATTGATAATTTCAAAACTACATTCCTATTGAAACAAATATCAAAAGCCTATTTTAAACATCTACTTTGATGGGCACAAATGAATCAACTTTATTGTCTTCTAATTTGCTGCCTGCCAAAAAATTCTAGCAGCTGTTTGACCAACAGGTCTAGATTAATATGTTAGATGCTGAACTGCTTAAAAGAGATCACAAGGCCCTAAATAGCAGAAATGAAAATTTCAGGATTTGTTGCCCTCTTGTGGAGACTTCACATCAAGCATTTCTGAAAACAGGTTCGTGAAACTGTATCAAAAGGCCCCTCATGGCATGTTAAATAATTTTAATTTGTTCTCTTCAGCACACCATGGTTAAATCTTCAAGAGGTGATTCTCAACCTGTCAGAGGAATAAATTAAGCTAGATATTTCCCCCCATGTCTAATCACCAAACTCAGTCTGCTTAGGTTGTCTAAGAATTTTTTCTCAAAAGGAAGACTGGAGCCTGTGCCCCAAAGATATCTGCTGAATCTGTTTCAGCCTTCCTTCCCCCTTTGCTAACCCTAATTACAAATAAATTAGAAAACATTGCATAGAAACTGATAACATGTACTAATTTATCATGTAACATGTAATGTTCGTACTTTGAGGCAATACACAATTTCTTAAAATCCATATTGCAGTCCATCAGAGCAACTTAACAGTAACATATTTAAAGTCAATCAGTTAATACAGTCTGATAAAACAAGTTCGCCTTAATTTTGGATGCTCTTATCCAAGCAAATGAGGAAAGGCAAAGAGACACTGTACATTTAACTACACTATAACCTTCTATATCCTTCCTTGATGACAGTCCCTTATTTTTAGTGTATAGTTGCAACCATGTAGGTTTAACATTAAATATATAGATTTAAATTGTGACAAAAAGACTTAAAGCATGGCTTTTGAAAGTATTTATTGATTGCATGTAAAAAGATGTATATGATTTTTTCATTTTTTCTTTAATAAGTATAGTTTTTCAGATCAGGTTAATAGAATTCGTCCCGTTGGGTGAGAAGAGAAAAAATAAAAAAATAACAAGGATCAATTCATTTCAGTCTGTAAGATCACTGGTTTACATTTGTCCAATTTTGCACAGCAGTAAAAACCATTATTCCAATTCAGTCCATGACAGGCGTCTTTTTCTACAGGGAGAATGATGGGACAGCATCTCCAGAAGGTATTGCTCACATTTGATACAGATGTCCATGGAAGGCCAATCCATCATACTTTTTATGCGGCCGGCAAAGGGTGGTGTTAAGCAATGGGGTTCAAACACAAGAGGTACTCTGGAAGTCATGAGAAGAATTCAGATTGTTTTCAAATATGCCTTTTTCATACCTTTATATGTTTTGAACACCTAGTAAGGGTGTACATTTAAAAAAATGTTTTTTGAAGAAATGTGTGAGTGAATTTTCTACTTTGTAGTTTAATTTGCAACATGATAGGAACTAAAAGCTACTGTCTTCACATATCACACTAAGTTATAATAAGCTTGTTTGGCTTAGACTCAGCACAACTTGGGAACTCGGCAACTGTAGCTCTAATGTAGGGTTTATGGTAGGGCACAAAACTTTCAATTTTTTAGGACATGCAAAAAAAGTGGAAGCAAAACAAATAAATGATAGTGTCAGGATAAAAATAGATGTTATTTAACAAACATCACATTTAAATTTAAATAGTAAATTAAAATTAGTAATTTCCTGAAGGCAGATGAAATAGTTGGAAGTTACTAATTTTTCCTACCTCATTAAAATTACTATTTGATGCCAACTTTTGGAGAGTCTCTGGACGCTTTCGGAGATCCTTTATGGCCATAATTTATAGCATAGCATGATGTGTAAGCCAGGCCATTATGGCTTATTCAACAAACACAGGCTTTATATGATATGATATAAAGTCATATTTTAAATATTCCACTGGATCTTTTAAGTATTCACAATAATACTTTTTCATGCTACCAGATAGAATATCTGTCACAAAGAGAAACATAGATGCATACTTCACATCTGATCTCTGTGATTCTTTTATAAGGTTCTGCGCAGAACGCAATTTCAAGCGTGAAGGTCAAGGTCAAGTGTGAAGGGATGACAGATAGAGGTTCTCCAGGACAATGAATCTGGGGAACTCCACTGGGAACCCTGAGATGGCCTCCACCAAGTCAGGTAGAAAGGTTGCTATGTAACAGGGAGGCTGGCACAGTAGTTTATTTTCTATTATAAATTAATAGAAAAATAGATAATAAATAATATATTCATCTATAGAGATAAAAAATGAATCAATACCATAATTTTCTGATTTATGAATCATGGAATGTGGAAGTCATTTTCTCAGCATAGAAGCATCATCTTATCAACCCAAGTTTATTATGGACTAGTATTTGAGAGTTGGCAAGATAGAGCTAGAGAAGAGAATGTATTATTAATGTAGTTTCATCTTCATGGCAAACTCTCACCTTGATGAATCCCACTGTTCTACTTCAAGCTGTGCAGCTTTTTGGTTGTGCAGGCCTTGATCATCTTCCTTGTCCAGTTGTATTGCTTTAAAGACGTTAAGCGGAAGGCGTGCACAAGGTCTGACTGGCATAGACATCTAGAGAAAAATACCGGGATAATTAACCCATCGATCGAATCCTTTAAATCAGTTAATATAATAAATGAAAAGGACGTTCACTATTAATCTATATAAATAAAAATGTAAATGTCCATTTGTACATAACTGCACATCTCCGAAAGTTCTTCACCGATTGCTTTCAAATTTTGACACAACGTTGCATTCGACTACGGACATGTTTATATATACCTATATTATATACATGTTACACCTGTGACAGGTAAAAACATGAAAAACATTGGAAAACATTGAAAAACATTGACAAACATTGAAAAACAGTGTCATCTGCTGGACGTAAAACCAACATGGCAGCCTCCCAGCCCTGATTACGCTCAACAGATTTCTGCTCCTTATATTTAGACTCTCCATATTGCTTCCAAGAAACTGCGCATTTGGAAGGCAGAGACGCCTGAGGGCCATATCCTGCCACCAGGCTCGGCAGGTAGGCAGCCGGCTTCCCACCGGGAAGCCCTTGCAGCCGGCGCTTCTAGGGCTGGCTCCAACCTCCCCCGCCCACCCCGCGAACTAGCCTCACCCGTCGCTGCTGCTCATCCCCCTCGCCAGCTGCTCTCGGGGCTCCCTCCAAAGAACACCTGGCAATGAGGCTGCTTGGGTCCGCCGAGTGGGAACCCTCTGTCCCTCGCCTGGCTCAAATCGTGCCTAGCCCAATGCTACCACGGGCCCTGAGGTCAGAAAGACCAGTTGCTAACCGGGGCTATGCGAATCCGGTCGGTGAGCGGGAGATGGAGGCAACTGGAGCCTCCCCCCTCTGGGTCACCTTTGACCAGCACCGCCTTTGATTCCCAGGTGGGCGCTCTGGCAGTTCACGGAGCCTACACGAAAATTTTGGCCTCTGGCAGAAAAGGGGCTCTGGGGAGGCTTCGGGGGGCGGAAACAGCCAGGAGGGAGGATGGCCGGCCCTCCTTCGTTTCACCTGGAAGAGCGGGGGATTTAATCATTCCCCTGCCCTTGGCAGGCAGGGGAGGAGAACTGCACAGGGGTCCAGTGGGGTGTGCGTGGCTCCTCGCTTTCTTCCTTCGGGCAGGAAGCCCCAAACCAGCCTCGAACCCCCGCAGCACCCCCTCCCTCCCTTCCCTTCCCTGCTATGCGTCTCCCTGTTGAGCCCCCAGAGAACATCTGTGTAGGGAGGACGGAGGGAGCCCCCGAGTTTCTGCTGTGGTGCGGAGAGCTGCGAAGGCCTGGCCTGAAAAGCTAAAGGCGATGGCGGGCGATGCAGAAGAGGCCGGGCCAGAGACAGAGATAAACAGAGAGAGAGGGAGAAAGAGACATAGAGAAATACAGAGAGACGGGGGGTGGGGAGATAGACACATACAGAGATATATAGAGAGAGGGTGGGAGAGAGAGAGACAGAGAGAGATACAGAGAGGGGGCAGAGAGAGACACAAAGAGATACACAGGGGGGAGAGAGACATAGAGAGATACAGAGGGGAGGAGAGAGAGACATAGAGAGATACAGAGGGAGGAGAGAGAGAGACATAGATACAGAGGGGGGGAGAGAGAAAGACAGAGAGAGATACAGAGAGAGGGGGGAGAGAGAGATATAGAGATACAGAGAGAGGGGGAGAGAGAGAGACACATAGAGAGATACGGGGGAGAGAGAGAGACATAGAGAGATACAGACGGGGATAGAGAGAGACATAGACAGATACAAAGAGAGAGGGGGAGACAGAGAGGGAGGATTTTGTGGTTCCCATTGTTTTTTAGCAACCGGTTCTCTGCCCTAATCAGCAGCTGGCTAGGCGTGACTCGGGGGTTGTCATGTGACTGATGAAAGTGAGTGACATTGAGTTGGCCATGCCCACCAAATGTTCGTGGAGAGTTTGGAACTTCAGCCTTGCTCTTTTAGCCCACTGGAAGCACCAGACTGGGCCACAGCAACGTGTGGCCAGGTACAGCTAGTATTAAATAAAAAATGAAGCTGCATGTTATTAAATAGGACAATGCAACATCAATCAGATACGAAGTACCATCAAGCAATTTGATAAATGTTTTATACATTAATTGCTTAATGGCTCCTAAACAAAACTTTATAATATGGGTTAAATTTACACAATGTCTTAGTTGCTCTAACATCTGTAGTTATGAAAACCTTTGAAAGGCTAGTGCTGTCCCACTTGAAAACCATCACGGATCCGTTATTAGACCCCATGCAGTTTGCATACCGAGCAAATAGATCAACAGATGATGCTGTTAATATGGCTCTGCACTACATCCTACAATATCTTGAATCTCCAAAGACCTACGCAAGGGTCCTCTTGTAGATTTTAGTTCAGCATCCAACTCCATCATTCCAGACATTCTTCTAAGGAAGCTAAACCAGCTAGCGGTACCTGAACACACTTGTAAGTGGATCATAAGCTTCCTACCAGACAAGAAGCAGCAGGTGAAGCTAAGCAGAATCACATCAGATACCTGTATAATTAGCACAGGGCCCCCACAAGGCTGTGTGTTCTCTCACTTCTCTTCTCTCTATATACCAATGACTGCATCTCAAACGATCCATCTGTTAAACTACTGAAGTTCGCAGATGACACAACAGTGATCGGTCTCATTTAAGACAATGATGATTCCGCATACAGACAGGAGGTTGAACAACTAGCCTCGTGGTACGACCAGAACAATCTGGAACTGAACATACTCAAAACCGTAGAAATGGTGGTGGACTTTAGGAGAAACCCTCCCATACTTACCACCTCTTAGACAACACAGTATCAACAGTAGAGACCTTAAATTTCTAGGTTCTACCATATCTCAAGACCTGAAATGGACATTTAACATCAAAAACCTCATCAAAAAAGCACAACAAAGAATGTTCTTTCTGCGCCAACTCAGAAAGCTTAAACTGCCCAAGGAGCTGCTGATACAGTTCTACAGAGGAATTATTGAGTCTGTCATCTGCACCTCTATAACTGTCTGGTTTGGTTCTGCAACCCGACAAGACAGACACAGACTTCAGAGGATAATTAGAACTGCAGAAAAAACAATTACTACCAACCTGCCTTCCATTGAGGACCTGTATATTGCACGAGTCAAAAAAAGGGCTGTGAAAATATTTACAGACCCCTCGCATCCTGGACATAAACTGTTTCAACTCCTACCCTCAAAATGACGTTATAGAGCACTGCACACCAGAACAACTAGACATAAGAACAGTTTTTTCCCGAACGCCATCACTCTGCTAAACAAATAATTCCCTCAACACTATCAAACTAGTTATTAAGTCTGCATTACTATTAATCTTCTCATCGCCCCTATCACCCATCTCCTCCCACTTATGACTGTATGACTGTAACCTTGCTGCTGGTATCCTTACGATTTATATTGACTGTTTCCTAATATGATTTGATTGCTTATTTGTTCCCTATGACTATCATATGCACCAAGACAAATTCCTTGTCTGTCCAATCACACTTGGCCAATAAAGAATTCTATTCTATTCTATTCTATTCTATTCTATTCTATTCTATTCTATTCTATTCTATTCTATTCTATTCTATTCTATTCTATTCTATTCTACTCTATTCTACTCTACTCTACTCTACTCTACTCTACTCTACTCTACTCTACTCTACTCTACTCTACTCTACTCTATTCTATTCTATTTTTGGTCAATCAAACAAAGAGAATCAATGAAAAAGAAAATAAAGAAAATAACTTACTTTGATGCAGCAATCTTTGCAGATGACACTAAAATTAAAAGGTAATACCTGAATTATATCAATAGCAATCGAATAAAATGAAATAACAAGAGAATTGAATACAAAGAAAAATAATAAAGGAATTGAACCAAAATTAAAATAAAAAAGGAATTGAATAAAAGGAAAGAAATAACAAAGGAGTTACAAAATAAACCACAAACATAAGGTACAAAATAAGTTTCAGGACTGAGAAATTGGCTTGTTATTTTTTCCTTATGCCTGCATGATCAATTGCAGGCTTTCCCACAAAGTAAAGATCCCAAATGCCACAACTGCAAAGTCTTTTATGAAATGCTTTACTGCAATTAAGTCTGAATTTAATCAACATGTGCTCAGGAATGAAAATCTTGGCTTATTTTGAGGGAAACCAAACAATAAAAATAGTATTTGCTATTGCAGTGGTAAACAATTATTTTTTTTGGCTTTGAAACAACTGGAAGAGAGTGTCAAATTTTCTGGGAAATACAATAATAGAACAGGTTTGGAAAACACCATTTAGGCAGTGTTTTTCATACTTGACAACTTTAAAATGTATGAATGTCAACTCCCAGAATCTCCCAGCCAGTTGAAGGGCACTGATGTCCAGATTTAGAGCACAGAATCCAATCCCTGCTCAGTTGAAGAATTGCTTCAGATTTCATAACAGAAGGTAACCATGCTGTTTTGGGAAAAATAGCCAAGATTTTTCTTTTCTAAAGTCTTGGTTACTTTAGAGTGGCAGATCGAGGCTGGGAGTGTACAGATAGTCCTCGATGTACGACCACAATTGAGCCCAAAATTTCTGTTGTTAAGTGAGACATTTGCTAAGTGAGTTTTGCTCCATTTTACGACTATTCTTGCAACAGTTCTTAAGTGAATCACTGCAGCTGATAAGTTAGTAACATGGTTGTTAAGTGCATCTGGCTTCCCCATTGATTTTGCTTGTCACAAGGTTGCCTAAGATGATCACATGACCTTGGGACACAGCATCAGTCATAAGTATGAACCAGTTGTCAAGCATCTGAATTTTGGTCACATTTTTTATAGAATAACAGAATTGGAAGGGACCTTGGAGGTCTTCTAGTCCAACCCCCTGCTTAGGCAGGAAACCCTACACCACTTTAGACAAATGGTCTGGTCATGATCATGGGAATGCTACAAAGGTCATGTGTGAAAAATGGTCATAAGTCACTTTTTTCAGTGTTGTTGTAACTTTGAATGGTCACTAAATGAACTGTTGTAAGTCAAGGACTACCTGTACTTTGATGCGCTCCAAATACTCCCCCCTTGGGAAATAAAAGCACAGGCATGGTAAATATTTCTCTGCTGTTATTGCATATTCAGAGTGCTGCCTGGCAGTCTTGTTTAGGGCTACCCAATACCTTTTTTGGTAAAGGGACTCTAAGAGTTTCATCTTCAGGGCCGTGCTGAGGCATTTTCAACAAACCTGGGAGATAAAATTGCTCAGATCCATTCTCAGACGAAGACCAAGCATGGGGCAATCCATTGGAAATCCTTGGAGAACGCTCTTATCGAGCTATTTGGGAATGATTTGATCTTGTGGGACCCGAGGAAGTGGACAGATTCCTTGGGACTGCATACATGACGATGGTCAAATTCATCTGAGAGATGACATGTGAGTGGGTCCTAATGACAATTAATTCATTCTTGAGAAAGTGTTCCCAGTACCATTTAAAGAGGTGATGCTACACTCCCTCCTCAAGAAACTAGACCCTACTGCTCTGGATAATTTTAGTGCAGTCTCTCATCTTCCTTTTTAGGGATGATCATTGAGAAGTTGGCCACATTGCAGCTCCAGAGGATTCTGAATAAGGCAAATTATCTGGACCTCTTCTAGTTAGGTTTCAGGCTCAGACATGGGAAGGAAACATCATTGGTTGAACTTTTGGATGATCACACATCTTAAAGTTGCCTTTGTTATTTTCCATTTCATTAATGGAAGTTTGCTTTATTTCCCTCATCCTGAAATTCCATTTCAGAGAGACTTCCTGAACTGCATATTTAGAAGACTGTCTAAGAGAAGAAGTAATATGCTTCACCACTAATTCTGTGTTGCTGGCAGGCTGACAATCCTAAATCAATTCACAGAATATGAACTCTGTTTAACATTTTTTTAATCCTTCTAGTAGAGTTTTCTAAGTGAACTATGAACAACTCACTCCTACATTTGTATGCCGATCTTCCTCATTTATCAGTCAGAAGACTCAAATCCAGGAAGCCCCCACTGGTACTTGCACAACTTCTGCCCAACAACTTTAACATTGATTCCCAATTGCAGCCAATGCTGAACACCCAGATATAGGAAGACATATAAAAGACCCCACAAAAAAGCTGCCAGGCTTTGAACTATCACGTCAGCAATACGGAATCCTGAATAAGATTTGCATCTCACATGGTGTCTGCTGGAATCCTCCCTCAGTGTGACTGCGAGGTCCAATGTCAAATTGTAGAACATATCATGACTGGCTGTAAATTGAGGGCTTATACCAGTCCAGTATCTGATTTTTTAATATAAATGATGCTGTGTTTCAATGGTTAAATGGCCTAGACCTAGACATTGGTATTTGAACCTATATATTTTGAACATTTATATTTTAGTGTGTTTTAATAATCTAGATGAAATGTTAATATATATTGTGAGTCCATGTATAATATGCCATATGCTAAATAAATAAATAAATCTAGGTGAATTAGAAAATTGAACATTTAAAACAGCAAAGCAGTATCAGTACATAGTAGGGCGACACAAAGAATTTGAAAGGGTGCTTCTTAAAATGTATTATTGTAGGGGAGACACTCTTTCTTGAAAGATTAAAACTGTCATATGTTTTAAGTGCAAGTGTTTTAAAGTTTTCCCCAGTTCTTTTTAAATGCTTTGCATAGCCCCAATAAATGATAGAGCTGTATCCTGTTTCAGATACAGGAGTGGTAGAATGTAAGTGAACATGAACACAGCACCTACTTATAACTCATTTGCCAAGACTGGAAGCTTCTTCTCAGCAGCCATGCAATCCTGGAAAATGACATAGCTACTTTAATGAGTAGGAAGCAGGGGTTGCTTTGGCACCACTACACATTCAAATCCCTCAAATCCAAAGCATTTAACAGCCCTAATAGATAATAATGAAAGACATGAGAAGAAATACATGTAAAACAGTGGTGGGTTGCCCCGGTTCACACCGGTTCTATAGAACCGGTAGTAAAACCGGCAGGAGGCCCCGCCTACCGACCCTGATGTCACCAAAACGCTTCTGTGCATGTGCACACGCGCAGCGCTGCTGCAAACCAGTAGTAAAGGTGAGTAGAACCCACCCCTGATGTAAAAACTACTACCCAGGGTAATATAGGCATTTGACTTTTCCCAAAAAAAACTTAACCACACAAATTATAGGTAAAAAGGACTGCTTTTGTCTTACACAGTAATTTAATTATAAATTATAAGAAGTATATAAATTATAAAAAGGTGCTGTTTACTTACCTGCTGCAGAGATGACACACATAAGGCCATATAAAGAATTGGTTGTGACAAAGGAGACAAAGCTGTAGATGGAAAGTTGTGACAAATGGTCCAATTTCTTTTTATAATATGATAAAAATCAATGCAAGTAATAACACTCCCACAAAGAATGAAGAATGTCTGGAGATTAAAATGTGGGCTACAGTTTCTGCAGTAATCTTATAGCTACATAAACCATCCCTTCCAACCACTGAAAAGACTGAGAATAGGCTTTGCATTATGGAAGCGTTCTCTGCACACAAATGTAAAATGAGAAAAAGACCAAAAACAACAAAAAATCCTATGCTAGACTAATTGCCTTCTTCAAAATGTTTCCACCAGGATATTTACATTATTTTGTATGCTTAATCTGAGTGAAAAACCTGTATGCGATATAAAAACACTAATAGGAATTCATAAAAATGAAATAGGATAATAAGGGGAATGGAACTTTTAATCTCATTTTCCTCTCTTCTGAGATGGTGGGTGGTTTTTTTAAAAAATAAAATGGGGCACATTAAACCAGGGGCGGGTTTCAAAACCTGTCACCATCAGTTTGCTCGTGGGCGCGCTCTCACGCACAACGCTTCTGCACATGCTCAGAAGTGTATGGGTGGGTGGGCAGAGTCTCCCGCCACCACCACTACCAGTTCTCCCAATCCGGTGCAAACCGGTAGCAACCCACCACTGCATTAAACATATTTATTTGTTATGGGGGGTGGGGAGTAGATGGTAAGCAATTATAGGAAAGAAGCTTCAGGATTCTACAAAAAGGAGAGGTGGAGACAGCCTATGATCTACACATTGTTCAACCTGATTTATTGGCAGGAGGATTAAAAACAAAGCAACCAACCAACCAACCAACCAGTGGTGGTATTCAGCCGATTCTATCCGGCTCAGGCGAACCAGTAGCAGCAGCTGCGGGAGGCTCACCCGCCTGGACATAATCATGTCCCGTTTTTGATGCTTTGCTCATGAGCAGAAGGCCCTGCGCATGTGTGCAGGTGGTGCGTGCGCTAACATTTGCGAACCGGTAGTGAAGGTAAGTGAATACCACCCCTGTAACCAACCAATCCTCTTATTAGAAAATTACCTCAGCCCTTGAAGGAAGATTACTTGTTTCTCTTTGGCAGGAATCTTTTATTTCTAAATATCTTGTTCCCATTAAATCTGCAATGCTTGGTAATGACCATCTTAAACATGTCCGATTGTAAGTAGGTGACAACTATAAATCAAATGAAGACATTCAGAAATTGCTCTTTATGCTAAATTTGTAATAAAACAAAGTCCTCTGGAATTTAGAGATAAACTTAGTAGTTAATGAAGAGTTTTTAGTTTGATGTGAATAGCTTAAAAATAAGAAATTCAAACACACCACTGAGGACCAGCTACAGCCATATTATTATAAACTCAGGAAGTTAAATAACTCTCATATTTATTCCTAAATAGAGGAAATTTTATGTATTTATTTATCTCCTGCCTTTATTATTTTTTATAAATCAAGACAGCAAACATACCTAATAGCAATAGCACTTAGCAATCGCAAAAGCACTTTGATTTATATACTGCTTCACAATACTTTACAGCACTCTCTAAGCTGACTTATAGAGTCAGCATAGTGCCCCCAATTTGGGTCATTATACCGACCTCTGAAGGATGGAAGGTTGAGTTAACCTTGACCCAGTCAGGATCTAATTCTTGACAGTCGGCAGAGTTAGCCTGCAATACTGCATTCTAACCACTGCACCACCACGGTTCTTCTAATACTTCTTCCTTCTCCTATTTTCTCACAAGAAGTGGGGTGGACTGAGCTGAGAGAGGATGACTGGCCCAAAGACACCCAACTGGCTTTCATGGCTAAGGCTCACAGTCTTTTGGTTCCTGGCCATAACCACTAGACTATATTGGCTCTCTATTTTATAATATACTAAATGAATAACTGCTAAAGTAATGGTATGTTAATACCCTCTATTTAGATTTAAATTCCAAGGCTTGCACATCTTTAATTATGTGCACATAGAGAAAACACAATGCATTGTAGGGTTTTGTGTGGCTTCAGAGCCAAATCCAAAAAAAGAGGAGCAGTAGCAGCAATAATTCCCCAAACCACTGGAAGTTTCTCTACCCTTTCAATATGAAGATTTGGATAAATGAATGCGTGTTGAAAAAGAACAGATAAGCATCATTCGTTTGTTCTTGCCTTGGTTTCTGATCCCCTGCCATCCTCACATAACTCTCTAAGTTTTATTTTTAGTTCCAAATCTGAGTGAATGCAGCTCGGTCGTGTTTTTTTAGCTTTTGAGAGGTTAATACTGATGTTTTGTTCAGCGATTATACTATTATGTGGAGAATCCAAGACGAACTTCTGAATATCTCCTGTACAAAAAACAACAATACAGAATCAAAAATGTAAATAGAAATTTTAAACTATTTTTACTTTCTTCAGAGATGATAAAATACTTACAGTTAGTTTTCACTACAGCAGGGAATATATGACGTAATGATGTACAATATGTCTGGTTCAAATATTTCATTTCATTTCTGTTATTTAAGATCCTCTTATGTTTCTTCCAGGATTCCATATGGATTAACCATTTTTTTAAAAAAAATCCTTTATTAATATTTTATTATTTTATTTTGTTCTAACAAGGTTACATACTTGATTTGGGAGAACTGTATAAATATAAACTATTATTTGCATTTTGGAACTTAATTCTATCAAATGGATATAATTTTTTTCAGGTATATGCTAATTGGCTTTTTAACTAACCAACTAGAGATCCTGGTATCTAAACTATATCTCTACTGCAAGAAAGCTATTCTCATTACTAGCCAACAACTGACACTTGAGTCGTATGAGAATATTGTAATTTTATTGTTGTATCACTTAATTTGAAATATATATATATATATATATATGCTTGAACTCCATGACTTCTCTCCATAATTGTAGTTTTAATGACTTAGAGAAGTAGAGATAATAAAGGTTTGCATTTGATTTCCAAAGATTAAAATAATGGATAGGACAGTTAATATTCTAGAAGCTAAAAACAAAATTAAAAATAATCTACATAGGTTAGATAGGCTATATAAGTGAACTGAAAGTAACAGGGTGAAATTCAGCAGAGATATAGGCAAAGTTCCTAAGAAAAAGAAATAAAATGTGCAAGTATAAGGAAACCGAAGCATGGCTTGGTAATAGCATCAAAAATTCCTGAAGGGGTGTTACGCAGAAGATAACCATGATCAAGTCTCTATTGTCCCAGAGTCCAGGACATAGAATTACGGCCCTAAAGTATATCAATTTAAGCATACATTCTGGTTGAGCATAGGAAAGGAATTTGAACATGGTACCAGTTACCAAAGGAAGTAGTGAATTTTTTTTCACTGTACGTTTTTCAACAGAGGTTGTACAGTCATTTACTGGAAATATTTTATTTTGGATTTTTGAATTGAACAGGGCACTGGATTCAAAGTTCTACATGCTTCTTTTAAATTATGATTCCATTTTTAAGGCATTTGTTTATAAAGACTATATATCTGAGGATCTGGTAAGTATCACCCTTGTTTTATACCAGATCATTATATTGGAACCTTCGTCAACAATATTTGCATATGCTAGCTATAATGAAAACAAAGTTCTTAACCAAGAGTAGAAAGATAGAGAGAAAAAATAGAAATGTTCCATTGAATATGCATAGGATATGCTGGGATTTCTACCCCTAATTTTGATTATAAAAGAAAAGTTCATTGATGAAAAAGCAAAATGATGGATGTATTTTTTTTACACATTTATTGGTGTAACAATTACAACATAGATCTTAAAAATAAGTTTATTAACAGTGGAGGGATTTTTTTAAAAAAATGAAAAAACAAAGGAACAGGTGAAAAAGATTGGAACACTGCCCCTTTCTACCCTTTTAGCCCAAGTGAGAAGAAAAATATTGAAATGGTGTTATTTTTCAGGATGGTGGGAAAAGAAGTATCCATCAATCAGAATAATCATAAATGTGTTATGGATGGGACATAACTATGGCTAAACCAAAGTAAGAGATTTTTTAAGTTGGCTTCATTTCCAGCCACTGACTTCATTTCCAGTCTCCACTGACTGGAAACAAAGTTCAACAGCTTCAGTCTGCTGAAAATTCCTGAAGCTCTAACCAGTACACAAAAATTGTACACAAAAAAACCAAAAATTCCAAGACATCTACATGATCAAGAATGTCTTGAACATACCCTTATCATTGTTGCTACTTTTCTGTTCAAAGATAGGTCGAAGTTTAGGTGGATTTTTGACTTCCATCATAAGCTGCTCATGCAGGCTGAATTTTCGACAGGTCTTCTCCTTCAATTTCCATACTGATACCTAGCAAACACAATAAGTTATAAATGAAAGATGGCAGGAATCTAGGGCCTTGCAGCCCAAAAGATTGTCAAGCCCAGCACCACACACACAAAAAAGGAAAGAAAACCACTCACTGGCATGACAGGAAAGTGCAGACAGAGAGAACATAGTCAGCCAAAGAAGCTAGTAAAATTGAAGAGGGAAGACTTGGCACATGGGTGGTGGTCCGATGGATCTACCTGCCTGGGGCCTCTTCAGCCCTCATCACATTGATAGAAGATGTCTCACAAATGAGAGAGTCTCACATCAGGGGTGAAATCCAGCAGGTTCTGACAGGTTCTGGAGAACCGGTAGTGGAAATTTTGAGCAGTTCGGAGAACCGGTAGTGGAAATTTTGAATAGTTTGGAGAACTGGCAAATACCACCTCTGGTTGGCCCCAGAGAGGGGTGGGAGATTTTGCAATATCCTTCCCTCAGGAGTGAGGAAGGAATGGAGATTTTGCAATATCCTTCCCCTGCCACATCCACCAAGCCACACCACGCCCACCAAGCCACGCCCACAGAACCGGTAGTAAAAAAAAAATTGAATTTCACCACTCTCTCACATATACTGTATATGTCTCACATATACACAATAAAAGCTAAATCTGATATGACCCAATACTTACTGCATGGAGGCTGTAGCGTTTGTTTTTGATATCATCCACCACCATACTGTAGGGTGAAAGGATACCTTCTCCTGGAGGAATGCTGTGCAGAGTTTTCCCCATAACCTTCTGCAGTCTCATACTTTTCTGTAAATAATCAAATACATCCTACCACAAACCATCCTGAAATGGGGAAGCCCAGCCTGAAGGATTCATATTAGCCTGCAGGTGTATTATATTGTATGACTCCTAAAATACAAGTTGTGCGTATTTTTTTTTAAAAAATGTTCTTGTACAGACCAGCTTATAATATTCAGAATTTCCACTGATATAATATGCTAAAATGGGAAGGGATTTGTAATCTGAAACAAGCAAAAACATTGACCTTAGGGTTTCATAATGCAATCTTTTTTTTTTCTTTCTTAGCATTTTCCTGCAAGTGCAGGGTTGAAGTTTTTTTTTCTTGTATCCATCAAGTATTGAACAAGGCTTGGAAGGAAGAGCTGGCAAGTTCATAGGCCTTTTGTAATTCTCTCTGAACAAGGAGAGGACTTGGGAGTGTCCACAAGTGCTCCATACACTTGCTCCTTGTGAGAAAACTACAAGACAGTGGTTTCCACTGGGTTTAGAGCTCTGGGAGATAAAGAAATCCTTGTCTTACCAGTTAAATGGGATATACAAATAACAAACCAAGAGAGGAACCTGGATAATTTTCCTATATTGGATTTACAAAAGAGACTTATTAAAGCTTTGAAGAATTTTATGAGATGGGACAAAAAAAATGAAAAGAAATTAAGTTTTAGGACATTATTTGAAGGGACTAAAGATCAAGATTGTTAAAAGTAAAAGGAAGGAATAAAAAGTTGTTTTATTTGATCAAGGATAAAACATATGTGTTGCTATCTCTTAATGGACTTTTGCTGCTGATCAGAGCTGAACAATGTTGTTTTATGGATTTGTTTTTAGATATCAGATGGGATATGAAAAAAAGAGATCATTTGTTGTATTTTATGAAGTGATAAATTACTAAAATTGTTTATACTAGTGACAAAGGGGGTCACTGCTTTTTATATTTCTTCCTTTTCTGTACTATATACTTTTTTCTTTCTATTCTTTCTGTTTTTCATTTCTGCATTTTTTATTCATTTTTAGTTTGTATTAATTTTTATCTTTTGAATTGTAATTTTTAATATAATGACTATAAAAAGAAAAAGAAAACTGGTATTGAAAATAACAAAGTAGACTATCCCTACCCAATTGTTTGTCTTCTGTGTGGCAGAACAGTCTTCTACCTCCATTCTTCCCAAATACTGAAATACATTTAAAAGAATTTTTTGTTTGCTCAGCGTAAACCCTTTGATTGCCTTTCCAACCTTCTGCACATTTTCCCTCCAATTTCAAAAGAAAAATTATGATGTGATGAAGATACTGAAGTAGTGACAAAGAAAAATTTGTTACTGTGTTCTCGCATCCCCCAAATCAGGGGTGAAATGCTCCCGGTTCAGACTGGATCACCTGATCCGGTAGCGATGCCGATGGGTGGTTCGGAGAACCGGTAGCAAAAATTCCTGCCCCCTCCCCATGCCCAGCTGAGCCGCGCATTCATCAGAGGGTTTTTTTTAAGCATTTTTTCTACAGCCTCTTCGGCCGAAAAAAATGCTTTTAAAAGTAAAAAAAAAAAAAAGCCTCTGAAGATCGTGCGGCTCAGCTGAGATTGTCAAAGAGGTTGTAGAAAAAATGCTTTTAAAAGCCTCTGATGATCCCAGCTGAGTTGCCTAATCGTCAGAGGCTTTTAAAAGCATTTTTTTTACAACCTCTTCGGCCAAAGAGGTTGTAGAAAAAATGGTTTTAAAAGTAAAAAAAAAAAGTTGGCCATGCCCACCCAATCACATTACCCCCACCACCAAGCCACACCCACAGAACTGGTAGTAACAAATTTTACATTTCACCACTGCCCCAAATACCTCTTTGCAACTCTGTATGGTTAATGTAAGTTTCTGAAGCTCAATGTACTCAGAGAACAGCATTTGGCAGATGGTTGTATAATGACTGGCAGCTTCGGATGGTCTGTGAAAGTGATCCTCACAGATCTAAAATGGAGAAACAGTTATTAGCTCTGGACACATATTCAATTAAATTCATTAAACTACTACTGAAAAAACTACTGAATTTATAGACCTGACATGCAAATCCTGCTCCATTTCCACTGAATCTCTCTCTACTCAGGGAACAGCTTGTAATAATACCATGTCCCTATGAACTTCTATAGTAACTGTATTTAAAAGTTTCCTATTAATTAAAGTATTTAAACTAATTGTTAAAATTAAATGAACAATTAACTTAAAGTTGCACTTTAAACTAAATGCATTCAAAGGAGATTAGCATAAGGAAGAAAGAAAGGAAGAAGGAAGGGAAGGAAGAAATTTTTCCTATATAGACAGATTCATTCCACCTCTGTTCTTCCTTAAACATACTTTATACTGAATGTGTAACATTATTTTTTCTACTCATCCAAAGGACATTTAGAACAAATGGCTATAAATTTGATATAAAATATAAATTATGGGAAACATACAAGACCTTGATTACATCCTGTAAAGCAACTGCGGTGTTTGAGGTCTCTGCGTTCAGTTTGAGCATAAATGTTATTAGCTTTGCCAGGGACTCGCTCAACTCTCTCTCCATATGGCTCTCGATTCCCCAGTCTAGAGCTTTGTAGATCAATTTTCCTAATGATTCTGTCAACTAGAAAGGAAATACTGAGTGATCGGTCAATTCTGAAAATCTAGGAGAGTTTTGTCAAAATCAATATACAAATGGCTGCCTGGATGACTGATATTAGAAGAAGTTAGCTACTATTTTCATCTGTCTCTAGGCATTTTAAAAACAGTTTTAAAACAAAATTATAAATAAAAACAAATACAAAACTAAAAGTAATAAAACATTAACTAGTACAGTAACTTGAGGCAGCTGACAATATTAAAACTAGAAAACGGTTAGAGCATGGGGATAATCCTGATATCAACTGGGGGAGAAAACTATTTCACTGAGATCCCCATCTACTCCACTGCCAAAGAGTATCATCAGCCACACATTAAGGTTAAACTCAGGAGTGAAATTCAGTAGATTCTAACAGATTCTGGAGAACCGGTAGCAGAAATTTTGAGTAGTTTGGAGAACCGGCAAATATCACTTCTGGTTGGCCCCAGAGTGGGGTGGGAATGGAGATTTTGCAGTATCCTTTCCCCAGGAGTGGGGAGGGAATGGGGATTTTGTAGTATCCTTCCCCTGCCACGCCCACCAAGCCATGCCCACATAACTGGTAGTAAAAAAAATTGAATTTCACCACTGGTTAAACTAGAAGGAAGTTTTTTTTGTATCCCTACTTCCAAGCTATGAGACAGCAGTAATGTCTTGAAGATATTCAGAAAGGATTAAGGAACAGGTACAGTGCCACTAGCCCAAGTATTCAATATACAGCATAGAATCGCCTTGAGTAACCTGCCTGTTCTGAAATCATTTCAAGAGCAATCTCTCATACAGCTTGTTACAATAATTCAGTCTTGAGATAACCTATATACGAAATCATTGGCTGAACTCTTATGCACCTCTTCATGAGCACTTTATGACAATTCAGAATCAGTTCTATATCTGTGCTATTATACATTATTAGAAGAGTGGGAAAGACGCTAAACTGAATCCAGGAGCTGGGAAATGGCATCAATCAAGATTGCTATTTCTATTGCTATTGCTATTATCTTTTGTTGAAATGCAACAGAATAATGACATGATGGCTTGACAATTTTTCCTTTTACAAACTAATATGCTTATATGCTACATGAAATAGCAATAGCACTTAGACTTATATGCCACTTCATAGTGTTTTACCACACTGTGTAAGTGGTTTACAGAAACAGCATATTGCCCCCCAAAATTTGGGTCCTCATTTTACCAACCTCAGAAGGATAGAAGGCTGAGTCAACCTTGAGCTGATCAGGATCGACCTCCTGGCAGTGGGCAGAGTTAGCCTGCTGTATTGCATTCTAACCACTGTGCCACCATGGCTCCTGAAACATGTTTTATGATCAAAATGATGGGAGAAAAAGATCAAAAGGATGCATAGGATGAAGTGGGGTGGTGGTGGTTTATTCACCAGTAGTAAGTATGGATAGGATGCTGATCAGATGATATTTCTTGGATTTGAGGACGATGAACATAACAATGATTGGCATCTACTTTATAAAAGTAGAGGAGTGGAAACATTATGGATGTGGAAATATTCTCAGCTTTAGCTATTCTATTAGGTTTTTTTGCCAAAAGGCTACATGGGCCATCACTAATGAAGACAAGTCTATGAAAATCCCAGATGTTTATTCATGTTTACAAGAAGAACGAAATCCCATCCAAGTTAAATGAATTATCTAACAGCCAAACCTAAATATAGTCACTTCCAAATCACTACATTATTTTGCTAATGTCAAGACTATGCCATCAATTGTGTCAAGCACCATAATCTTACCTTATCTTCTAAAATCTCTCTTGGCTGTTGATTTATGTGACCATCTGAAACAAATGTTTTTGTCAATTTCAGTTTAAATTTAATTTGCATGTTCAGGGTGACCATGGGAGATATTGATAATAGATTGATTCCTGGTTATTTTTTAAAAAAACTTGTCAAATAAGGACAGCTGAACAGCACTCTGTGGATCATAACCCTAGTTGTTAATGAAAATATTCCACTGTGGATAGATGGGAAAACCTTTCTTTTGTCAAATGGAATATGGGGGGAGGGAGGAAACACTATAACATCAACATTCATCATTTCCTCTAGACTATAGATAGCATCCTTTCTTTACCTGCTGCTTTCTCCCTTCATGGCCATATTGCTAATGCATCTGGAAAACTTAGGTTGAAGTAGGCTGATATATAGGATTATAATATTTTAAAAAGTAACTGGATGAAGGTAGTCATGTATTTTATAGAGGACTACCTTCTGTTTACAGAGTCTGGTTTAAAGATAGATCTCAGAAGAGAGATGTTGAATTTACTTGGCCATCAGATCGGATAGGCACATATTCCCCAGTTATTATGGGAAGGTGTACTATACTTCTATTTCTGTAATCATTATTTCTATAAATCAGCATAAATACATTATCAGAATATACACATTTTTCTAGCTTTTAAGTGTGATGATAGACTTCCAATGTTTCAATATATAGTGCATACTCCAGTGTTTTATTAAAGTTTTTATATAACATCACTGGTATAATTTGTTCCTTTGATTTAAGACGATATATAAAACTTCAAGCCTTCTAGAGGTATTTTTCAAAGGGAAAAAATTATCAGATACCTATCATTTTAAGAGAAGAAATGAAAATCAGGTTTTTAAAATACTTTAAACTCTCCTGCTGTTTACTCAGTGGTGTCCTTCAAACAACAGCTTGTCATTATCAACTTTACATTACATTATATTACATTAATTACATTAAAGTCAAATATTCAAATCTGAATTAACAGGAGTTGCTCATATCTAATAAGCATTTTTTCTCTACTATAAATACATTAATTTTTCTTTAGTTCTATTAACAATTCAACAGAATTAGATTTTAGAATTTTTATTTTAGAAAGGAAAGCACCATCAATTTAGATGATATAAAGTAAATACTACTATATTAAATTTTCATAAACTGTAGTCACAGAGAAACATTTGCAATGATCTTAAATTCTATGACTTATTCTAGTTCCCATTATTTACTCACAAACCACAGATGGTGAGGTGATTGTTTCCAGGTAAGTACATTTAAAATTAACATCTTAATTAGGGTAACTCATAATACATTGAAATATTAAGGGAAATAAGAAATTGTAGAAACACATACTTGTAAATGGAAAGAAACCACCATTTTAGTAATTTTAATTTCAATTTCTTACCATAGTTATGTTTGATAGGGAAAGATATACTACCGTCAGAATGAATATAGAGTTCATCAATATCTGAAATCTGCATCTGTACTACAGAATCCAGTCCCTGAGCTAATATCTGATTCATTTTACAACAACAGTGAAAGCAAATAGCCCAGGCTTGTTCTTCACTTATGGGCTGTTTATAAAATCTTAGAAACTGAGCTAGAGAGACCTTAGTGATATCCTTTGTATTAACCATTGTAATTGCTGGTTTTGTCCTTTCTTCCCCTCTTCATAGTAGTAAGTGAAATCTTTACAACTCAGCAAGTACTTTCACTGTGTCTAATTTATATTCTTTGATAAGGTCCTTTCAGGTTTAGTTAGTTTAGAGAAAATGTGGATGTATGTCTTAAAGGGAAAGTAACTCCATACAGTGTTACTCTAGACAGTATTAATTTTGCCTGGATAAAAAAATCAAGCTAAATTTATTTATAATACTCTGCAACAGTTTCCTATAGAGGAATAGATAGCTAGCTGGACGTATCTTACAAAAATATTTATTTATTAAAATAATTTAGTGTTGATAAACTCTACATTCATCCAACACCTGAAATTTCTTACATTAATTTGCATACATACTTGTAATCTAATTTCAAACATCACATATTTCTTTGTAACTTAAAATGTTATGGGAATTAATAATATTAAATATATAAATAAATCATTTATATATTAGCCTCTTTGATTATGTTAATTGCAATTTGTTCAACAAATTATGGTTCAACATGCAGGATACTGATTTTATTATGCTCCATGAACTACAATAAGAAATTTATTCAGTGTTTAAGAAGTTATTGTTGAAGCAAAAATGTCGTAGTATCAAAATCCCAGGTATAATTATAATAAAATGTTTACTTAATTTTTTTTTTTAAATGAGAGAAAAGAACTTTAAAAGAAACTCAGCGAAGACCATGTAATACCACTTCAGGAGGCAGGTAGAAAACCAGGTGAAATTCATAGAATATCTCATCCTCAGCCCATTGTAAAGAAATCTTGTATTTGGAGTAAGCTGTCTCAGTTTAAAGTAACATTTCCCTGTTATCTAAACACACTTTGCAATTTGCAACATTTCTGTGATGGTGCTGGGGAAGATGAAGTCAAGGGATTAGTTCTGCCCAGTTTTTATTGGCCTTATATGGGTAGATCTGTTTCCCTGTGAACTGGCTGGCAACAAATTTTTGGCTGCTAGGATTCAGTGAAGTGGCAAGAAAATTGGGGAGGAAGCATTGTGGAGGAAGTACAGTAATTATCAAGCTCAGTTCTCCATTCCCATGGCAGTATGGGAACTTGGTTATTGCCTTGTTTCCTTGATTTTATTCATAGTCATCATCTCCACACTTTGAACCCTTAGCGGTAATGGACATGCTGTGGTTTCTATAAAAATTTGGTACATAAAGCTCTTAAAGACTTAGCAGGATAGCCAAGGAAAGATGATCAGAGTTTATGATTGAAATAAATAACAGATGCTATGAAGTTGCGGGAAGGGGAAGGTTTGTAATTTCAAAAGGAATTTCAGATTGCAACCTCTCTAGTATAGTTGCTTTCAGAGAGGAATTGTGCTGCTCTATAATAAATTTAAAAGAAACAAAGCAAAACAGAGCAGCATTTCTTTTTGTAGATTACATATTGAAATGTATGTTTTAGTCTCCAAAAATTGGTGCCAAATTTCAGTATTCTTGCTGTTTGCCCTTTGAGCCAGCTTCTATTTGGCACTTTGCAGAGATCTCATAATTTATGTCGTATCATACAAAATCAGCCCTAGAATAATGGGAATTGCAGTCATTACACTTTGGAGAAATACTGTGGAAAGAGGATTCTCTTTCTCCAATCTGATTTGTACATAAATACATCTTCCTCAATTTCTCCCTGTACGTGTTAATGAAATTTTCCTAATTTTTTTCTTCTTTCATCTGTTTATGATGTGTAACTATTGCTCCTTTATCGCTGCACTGTTGAAGCTAAACCTTAAGTATGCAGGGAAGAGTAAAATTAAACTCTACAGTAATTGCTATGCACCGATTAAGGTGCCCTTTTTAGAAAAATACATGTACAGCAATACTAATCTCGGGCTATTTGTGAGTTGCAAATATCTGGATGCAAAACATCTCAGCTGGCAGCAAAGCATTAGTTTACAATCAAACAATGAACAGAGCAGTATTTTCCACTCTTGATATTTTGGGGGAGTTGAAGTCCCCACGTCTTAAAGCAGAGGTCTTCAAACTTGGCAGCTTTAAAGACTTGTGGACTTCAACTCCCAGAATTCTCCAGCCAGCATAGCTGGCATAGCTGGCTGGTGGAGAATTCTGGGAGTTGAAGTCCACAAGTCTTAAAGCTGCCAAGTTTGAAGATCTCTGTCTTAAAGCTATCAAGAATAGAAATACTTAAGACAGGGGTGGGCAAATGTGGCCCTTTTACAACCTGTGGACTTCAACTCCCAGAATTCCTGAGACAGCTTGGTTGTCTCAGGAATTCTGGGAGTTGAAGTCCACAGGTTGTAAAAGGGCCACATTTGCCCCACCCCTGACTTAAGAGGAAAAAGGGCGAGCGTGAAACGAGGAGAAAATACGCAAGAGAAGCCTTCCCCGTGGATCAAACTAAAGCGCGCTTCCAGGTCCCGCCTCTCCGACGGAATAGCGAATCAGAAGGCGAGAAATAAAAGGATTCCCCACTTCTCCCTTGCCCGATAGGGGGGCGGGTCCGTCAGTCGTTCTCCTTCCGGTGACTTCTTTTAATTCGGGATTCCCCGCCAGGCAAGATGGCGGCGCCCGGAGGCGGCGAGATGGTGTGGAACCGGTGGGACGTGCCTTGGCCTGCTTGTAATTCGGCCGAAGTGGTCCCGGCTGAACATGCTTCAGGTTAACGGAGAGATTTCAATGCGGAACGAGGATCTCTGGATAAAGCGGAACATCTTTGCATTCCGCGTTCAATTTGAGTGATAGATAAAGCTGCGAACTTTCCTGCCTTGTCTTTTTTTTTTTAGGAAACGTCGTTTAACTGACAGACTTTTGACTAAATTATTATCCAGCAGATTTGATCTTGATCCTATAAAATATACGCGTGCGATTGTAAAATAAAAAAAGGAGATCGCTCATTCCGTTAAATAACTTACATTTTTGCTTATATAGGATTGTAATTTGTTTCTGATTGATTTTAGTGGAAACATCTTCCTTTCTTAATGTTAAACCAGTTGTGTCTTAGAAGTGTTTAACTTCGTTGACTTAATACTCTTAGGTTTTTCAAACGATGATTAATATGGGGATAATTGATTAAACTGGACTTAACTTGAGGGATAAACACTTGTGAATATGCACAACTGAGGAAAAAAAAACCCTAAGCACATTCTACTATCCTACTGCATGAAATCAGCTTTTGATTGTAGTTCATTGTAAAATTGAATAAACCATGGTTTAATTAAACATACATAAATGTGCCATGCAAAAAACAGCAGCTATATATGCAGCGAGTATCTGGAATTCCATGCCAAGAAGTAAGCAAAGTAGCTGAAGGATACAAGATCCTGGACATAATCCAAATGAATTGCCAAAAGGAAAATTTCCTTATAATTCATAATTACTACAGCTTCTTTGCTAATCTGCTGCAGATAACTAACTCTGGGTTTCCCAAATTATCAAGTGTACCTCTCTTGAAGAGATAGACAGAATATGTGAGGAAGATGGAAATAACTTTTTAATTGTACAATGTTACAATAAATCTACCTTTCCCAAAGTTTTATTTTATTGTCATTCTTTATTTGTGCTCAGATGATTTATTAAGGGGATGTACATTAAATTTATACTAAAGAGAGGTGTGGTGGCAACTGAACTGACACTGGAATTTGAGAGCCACTTCCTTTGTTACTGGTTTATTGAGTGAATTTTTGCATCTTCCTATCGATGCATGTGTTTATATTTTCTAGTGAGATGCCTTTCAGCTGTTTTGAAGAGGTGTTGGACTGTTGACAGCATGTTAAACAGCAAAATGCTGGTTGCAGAACAGAGCCTTTTGCATTCAATCATTTATAATTACCATTATCAGATGATTCATCAAAAGGCATATGGGAGTCTTAAACAGGTTGGTAGAATGTTGTGATCTTTTTGGAAATCTTGATTAAATCATTTTAATCTGTAGGAATCATGCATATGTGGCATCCAGCAATTCTGCTTTATGGAATAAGGCCTTCCATAATCAAAAATGATGAATTTGCCCATTGTGTCATCTTTAGTAGAGGAATTCTTCAAGGAGGAGTGAAAAAAATTCCAAAAATAAGATTTAAAAAGACTTAGCTAGCTATAGCCCAACACTTAGACGCTTATATTTTTGCCATGGGTTATGTAATACTGACTGTAAGGATTCTGCATTTACTATATATAATATAGAATGCATTTGGTTCTGCAGAAAGTATGTTTGCTTAATTTTTGGGACATGTAGATTGTTTTCTGTTCACTTATTGAAACATACACTACATTGAAACTTAATTTTGAACGAATTAGGAGTGCCCCCAAGTATATATGCTAGAGAGATGGTGCATATGAAGAATCTGGTTATAATTAATATGAGTTATGAAAAAAAATGATTCATTTACATCTAGAACTAAGCATATTTATTGGAAATAATGCTATCAATTTGCTTGCTTTTTAATATAGACCAGTAAGCAACATTTTTTATCTTCATAATTTCAGGTAGAACAGTGCTTGAAACGTTTAAATTTAATGAATCTTGAAAAGTCGATTCAAAAAATTGCTCAGATGGATCCCATGTAAGTAACTTGCTAGCATTTCCATGTTTCTATAGTTTTATTAATAGAGGTTGTCCTTGAAATATGACTGTAATGGGCACATGTCACAATGGTCACACAGCATCACTTAACCCCACTCACTACCAGGGTGGATAAAAATCGATTATTTCAATTGGATTTTTTAAATTTTTATCATATTTATTTTAATAAAATGCTTTTGGAGTAGAAATCTATCTAAAGATAGTTTTCTATTTAAGATACATTAATAATTTAGTTTATTCAGCATTATGTAGCATGAGGCTGTATATTCTACAATATTTACATTATTGTTAAACTTATTCAATGAACCCAAGCTCTGCAAGCTAACATGCACTCTAAACAGGAAACCTTCATTTTGTTTGCAAATAATAATATTAAAGATTCTAACTACCAGCAAGAATGAGTCCTTACATTTAAAGAGCACCTGTCATTTCAGATCCATCATGGCAGGGCCTGTTAGTGGGCATCCACTCACCTGGAGCCCACCATGTCCCTCACCTTGTTGCTTCACTGCCGCATCACCAGCCATCCCAATAAAGTGAATGGGACTGTTGGTGAGTCATCAGCGGGTCAGGAGCCCCTGTGGGACAGAGATGACAGTTGCTCTTTAAAAATTATGATTTAAATCGAGTTGATTTAAATCAAATCAACCCTGCTTACTACTCTTCCTGATGTAATCATTAAATGAAAATGAGAATTGTTAAATAGAGCACAGTGCCTCGGGTGGGGGAGGCCCTGGTGGCCTATACAGATTGCCTGCCCTGAGCCTCTGAAGGCTACTTCCACCCCCAAGGCACCCTGTGCTCCACTTTTCTCTGGGGTCCCTATAGTCCTTCAGCTTCCTTTCCACCCAGCAAGCAAGGGGAAGGCAGTCCATCCAGAGTTTGCAAACTTCTTCACAGAGTCCAAACACCACACTCATCTGGAATTCCTTAAAGCAGATTTTCCCAATACAGATACAACCTTTTGTTTAATGACCAAAGTTACAACGGCACTGAAAAAAAAGTGACTAATGACAATTTTTCACATTTAACGACTGTTGCAGCATTCCCAGGGCCATGTGATCAAAATTCAGATGCTTGACAAATGGTTCATATTTATGACAGTTGCAGTGTCGCGGGATCATGTGATCACCTTTTGCAGTCTCCTGACAAGCAAAGTCAACAGGGAAGTCAGATTCATTTTACAACCATGTTATAAACTTAACAACTGCAGTGATTTACTTAACAGCTGTGGCAAGAAAGGTTGTAAAATGGAGCAAAACTTACTTAACTGTCTCACTTAGCAACAGAAATTTGGGGCTCAATTATGGTCATAAGTTGAAGACTCCTTGTACAGTGTGACTATTGTCTGCAGCTACCATGTGATCGAGAAACAACTCATTTGATTTAAAGAGTTGCAGACAGGTTGTATTGCATAGTCTCATTAACACTATTACCATATCAGCATGTGACAAAGCAGGAGAGAGTAGCATTCAAGCATTTACTTCTTTATTTTAAACAGAAAACAGAAATCTGAAAATTCTGAGCAGTCCTTGGTGCCCAGCCAGCCTGTAATAGAAGTTGTTCTGGTGAAGATACTGGGTAGTTGCAAGCTTATACTACGTTTACTTGAATGTTGTTGTACGGCATTTAGGTATCCTTCCCAAAAGATAATTCTGTAGTTGTTGTTATCCTGTTTACAATCTAATGTTATCATTACTGGTTGTGGTGCATAATTTTTCTGGTCTTAATTTTTTGCAGTTCTCTAGCATCATAAATATAGTATAAATGACTTTGATTTTTATTGAATTAAAAATGTAAATAACAAAAAAGTAAATGTGTTTTACTCTTCACTGTCTTAGGACTGAGCACACTGAGCTGAGTAACTGTAAAATAGACATTTAACTTGGATCTCTAGCTTTTTGGGAAATATTATTCAGCCTTAACCTACTTGTTTCTCAGTTTAATTGTTAAACATCTGTGTTTGGAAGAGTATGTATTGTTCAATACTTTGATTCTGGGGTTGCTGAGTCGGTTATGGTATGTACACCTCTTAAATATTTTTATTGTTTCATTTCTAGTTATTCATTTACATGTTTATAATAAAGATTTTGCTTAGCCAGTTTCTTGCCAATTAGTTTGGGGGGGGGGGGCATACCAATGGGTATTGTACCACAGCACAATTTATAGAGTTCCAACTGCATTTATTGCTAAGGTGGATCCAGGAAAAGTGGTGGATAAAGGAGATTAAATGGCATCTTCAGAAACTCTGGAGCTTTGTTTCAGTTGGGATGGGAAAAAGGAATGTACTTTTTTATAAACTTTTATTTATTTTTCCCTAATTGGTTTTGAGTGGAAGAAATTTAAATATGGCAGATGCCATTAGTGTAGACCTGGTTGTGGGCACTGTATGTGTAATGGGTTTTATATGCAGATCCCTTTTTCCAAATACTCAATTTGGGATCTTCCTTCTATGCAAAATAATGTCAGGTTGTATATCTTAATTCCAATAAAATTTTAGCGGTATACAGATGGGTTTGGGCCATATGTACTGCCCAACCATTGGAATTCATTTTTTCCAAAGATGAAACTGTAGTCTTTCTCACTGTGTCAGAATTGCTCCATTATCTGGCAACTGGATCTCCTTTGTTTCAGTTAAATAAAATGTACCAGACATTCTGAGCAAAGTAGATAACTCATTCTTCTATCCATCTATCCTTCTTTGCTTTTGATTAATGAATATAAATTCTGCTTTGTGTGTGCATGTGTTTTGTCTATTTAAGTAAGGCTCATAACATTTCACATCCTTATACTAGTAACTAGCATTTTCAAAAATCTTGGGATGCTGTCCTAACATTTAGAAGCTACTCACTCCTTTCAAGTGACAAACCTCTTTGACTTTTTCTTCAGGATTACTGTTAATTTTATTGCCAATGTTTATTGTGAGTCAGTACTGGTTAATTCATACTGAATTGGAGATCTTAGTAAAAATCAGAAGCAAACACAGAATTATGTTAGCCAATATCAAGTGATACATCTCTCTTTGTGTTTTTCCTTTATTATTCTAGGATTCTTTATGAAGCAGTATTAAAAAAGCTTAGTACGTTATATAAGGATCTGTTTGAATTGCTTCAAGAGGTAGCAAAAATTCACCAAAGGCCATATATTAAAGGATTTGTCTTTCCTTCTGAAATAAATTATTTTCTGGAAACCAGTTATTTAGATATTAAGAAGAAAATGCCTAAAGCATTTATAGAAAGGAAAACTGGCACTGGATGGATAAATACATTGTTTTCGGTACAAAAGACCATATCCCACCCTCTGAATCTGAGTGTAGCAGTCCCTCCAGCAGTCAGGAAAAAAAAGAAGAAAAAGAGGAAAGGTACCCAAAATACTTCTGATATTGGAAAACCAGTTTTGATCAACAGAACTAATCAAGGTAAATAGTAATGGCTGCTTAATTTACTTCAATATTAGTAACAGTCACACTCATGCTTATATTACAGCATTGTATACATTTTTTATGCTTTTATAACTTGTATTAAGTTGGAAGATCTGTATTGATTACCTTTTCTCTTAATAGTGTGGAGAATGCCTGAAAAAAAAGATGGGCAAAAAGTAGGGAGGGGTGAAAATTGCAAATGCTTAGATGTTTCTTTGGGACGAGACTATTAATTATCTACTGGTGGGAAATCAGGATATCTATTTAGAAATTCAGTGCAGATTACACTATCTAATGTACAAAGTAATAATTTATTAAACTTGCATATTCAATTCCTTAACAACTGTGCCCTAGCCTACAACTAAAAAATTACAATAGAACTATTAAAATATGGCAAGCATTATAGATAAGATAAAATGAAGCGAGGGGTCTCACTGTCCCTCTTCAAAGACCTGGGTGAAAAGCCAATTTTGCTTTTGTGAAAAATAGCAGATATCGTGAGGGGAAGCTCATTCTAGAGGGCAGGTGCTGGTACAGAAAAAGCATGTTTTGGGTATCCCAATAGATGATATTCGTTGATGAAAGGAACCTGGAGAATGCTGATCCTGAAAGATTGAAGTGGCCAGCCTGACATAGCAGATTTACTGATTTAAATCTATTGTTGTTCAAAATTATTTACCTGTTTTTAGTTTTATCTCTGTGCCTTTTCTTTTAGGTTTTGCAGAGAAGTTGGAGTTTGACCTGAAGACATTATGCAAATATCCTAATCCTGTATCACAGAAGGTTTGTCCATTCTATTCTTGTAGGCTTGTATTTATTTATATTTGATAGCCAGTTTGATGTAAAAGTTAAGACATTAGATTAGATTTGGAAGACCATAAATTTTAGTCTTGCCTTAGACACAAAGCCAGCTGGGTGACCTTGGGCCAATTACTTTCTCACAGCCCTAGGAAGAAGGCAATGGTAAATGACTTCTGAAAACCTTGCCAAGAAAACGGTGGGGACTTGTCCAGGCTGTCTTCAAGAATCAGACATGACTGAGCAGAAGGAAAAACAATTTTATCACACATTTATTTTGGATCAGCTAAAGGCAATTATATAACTAATGCTCCTGTCTCCTGTTTTATCCATAACAACCCTATAGAAAGAATATCTGGCCCATAATCATCCAGCTGGCACAGTCTGTATTGATTTTCTTTAAATGTCATAAGCACTAACTCTGCTTTGTAATTTCTTATGTATATGAATAAACATATTAATCTATCACTCTCCTTTGTAAATAAGGTTAGTGATTTAATTGTTAAATTTGTGTAATGAAAGTTTATTCCGTTGAATATGGATTTATAGGATCTCAAGAATATTTGGGAATAGTTGATAATTTGATGGTCAGAAACACACTTTCATGTGGAAAGCTTAATTTTAATTCCTGTCTCATTCTTGTTCGGTATCTTTAGAACATGTGAAACCTTTGAGGGAATCTACTCATTAAATTAAGCAGCACTAATCAATTGTGTAATTTGGTCCTAGACAATTTCATAACTTAATCAGGTCTTCTGTGGAATTTTCTTGGTCATGAGAAATAGTGCTGTTTTTTTTTAATACGAAGAAGAGATAACATTTCACAGTTGTTTTGGAAACTACTGTGATATGCATTTTAGGAAGCCATTCAAAAAGCAAATTTTGAAGACTCCAAAGAGATTTTTGTTCATGGTTAAAATTTGCCTTGTATTAACTCTAAATCTTTTAAAGTGGTTAAAACTGCCAAATATTTAATTTTTCAACTTCTATGAACTTTTTAGCCAAGGATGCTGGGTGTTAAAGTTTATTCTGAGTCTTTAGCTTTTTAATTGTTTTCCAGTGTTAATTTTTTACTATTTTATTTCAGAATTCTAAATTTAGTAATATACTTCCTGAGTCAAAGAAAATCACATCTATTTCTTCTAAAGCCCTGAGATCTCGGCATCTTCACTTTTTTGTGTCCAAGTTTAAAGAAGTACAATCCTTTGAAGAACTGTCTCAAACACTGAAAACAACAGTCATCTGGTGTAAAAACAATAAATTTAGATCAGGGGCTTTCTTCTTAGGAATGAAGCTTTTAAAAAGCAAGAGGCTGCAGCATGTGGAAGCCCAAGGTTGCAGGTGTGTAGATTGTTAGTCCTTGTCTTTCCATATCTTCTAAACAGGCTCTGTGTAATCCTGAAATATAGGTGGTCCTTCCTTGGCGACCACTTGTACAGCAACTGTTCAGAGTTACAGTGGTACTCAATAAAAGGGACTTAGGACCAGTCCTCATAGTTGTGGCTATTGCAGCATCCCCAAGGTCACATGTTTGGGATTCAGGCGGATGGCAGCTAGCTCTCAATTACAAGTACTGCAGTGTCCTGTGGTCACATATTGACATTTGCAATCTCCCCTGCCATCTTCCTACAAGCAAAGTCAGTGGGAAAGCTGGCAGAGGTTGCAAGTTGCTTCTGCCTTTTTTTGGGGGGGGGGGGAGCCCCTGAGCAGTATGGGAGTCTTATCCGTACTGATACAGTGCTTGCCCACATCACCCACATGCCTATACTTCATGACGCTTCCCTGCAACATCCGCCCTCCCATGCTCCATAGTCTCCACATAGGCATAATTTGTGATACCTACCAGCGGTGTCTGCCTGTAGCTGTCTCCCACCAGTCTGCTTGTCTCAGACACATTTCACCAAGTGTTTTTGGGTTCATGCGTCTTCCCATAATTCAGAGGCCTGGAAATTTTGAAAACTAAAAGTATTTCCATATTTGTAATATGGAAATGATGAAACTTCTCAGTGTGCATATTAATAAAATTAAACCGCATGAATGGTGGTGGAGCATGCATCTGCATCAGGGGTGGGTTCTAAATTTTTTTACTACTGGTTCTGTGGGCATGGCTTATTTTGTGGGAGTGGCTTGGTGGGTGTGTAATGTGACTGGGTGTATGTGGTCAACTTTTTTTTTTCTTTTAAAGCATTTTTTCTACAACCTTAAGAGGTTGAAGAAAAAAAGCTTTTAGAAGCCTCTGACGATCAGGCAACTCAGCTGGGATTGCCAGAGGCTTTTAAAGGCATTTTTTTTCCTACAACCTTTTTGGCTGAAGAGGTTGTAGAAAAAATGCTTTTAAAAGCCTCTGATGATCCCAGCTGAGCCGCGCGATCATCAGAGGCTTTTTTTTAACTTTTAAAAGCATTTTTTCAGCCCAAAAGGTTGTAGAAAAAATGCTTTTAAAAGTTTTTTTAAAAAAGCCTCTGATGAGGTGGGCGGGGTAAGCGAGTGGCGACTGGGCGGGGGATCGGTTCGGGGGCGTGGCCAGCCAATGTTATTACCGGTTCTCCGAATTACTACAAATTTTTACTACCGGTTCTTGTGAACCGGTGCGAACCGGGAGCAACCCACCACTGATCTGCATCCATACTGTTAAGCTTTCTTCTGTAACCTGTTTCAGATTTTGATGAGTCGATTAAGCTCTTCCAAGCTCACTAGAACTTTGATATGTGAAAAAACTGGATTACGCAAAATAAATGACACTTGGTTTTACAGACTGTTACATCAAACAATTGCTCTTTGCTGCTTTAATTGCTAATCTTTTTTCTCTTACAGATTGCAGCGGAAACTTAGATGTGTTAAAGCCACTATCTGTAAATTCCTTACACTCCAAAGTTGCAGAGAGAGACCCGTGCAACTTCTTAGAGGAAATCCCCAGCGAAGTAGTAGACTGTCACGGAAGCAGAGCTGTCTTTCACAGACTACTTCTGTACATAGAGGGAGTCCTCTCTTCAAAGGAACTCAGTCTCCTTTCCTCAATCAGTGCTTTCTATTTCAGACTTTGGGCTCCAGTGGTACAAAGATTTTTGAGGAAAGTATTCATATTTCTGCCCCTGCAGTGTTGGAGAGTCATCCTACCCATATACAGAAAGAAGCCACTGAACAGAAAGATGACATTGATGATATTTTTAAAATTATAGGTCTCTAAGGCTACTTTATGTTAAATAATCAAAAAATATGTTCGGTTCAAATGTTATTTCTATTCCATTATAGCAAATGCAGGCAACTGCCTTTAGGTTTTGAAGTTTCCTTGAGGTTGTTGAAAAGCAAGTTGTAATTGTTGGTGGACTAACTTGAATCATCCCTCAATTACTTATTTTTATAGCAATGTTTTACTCTTTTATATCTGTAGGAGTGTTGCTACAGATCATATGAAACTTAAATTGGAACAGTGCCAAACAAATGCTGCTAAGAATAGTTGAATAACAATTTCCTTAAATAATTCTTTGAGGTGAATGGACAGTGGAGGGGAAAAGCACCAAAGAGCTAAAATGGAGTGCCTTCAGACCTTATAGCAAATACCTGGAACCAAAAGGTCACTTTGCAATATTGGATGGTTGCAGGAACTATCCATTTTTAAATAATAAGAATATGGCTGTGAATTATACTTAGTATTCTTTAAAGTGATACGCTTTGATGGCCAGTCCTAAGACGGGACAACTTAGAGGTGTCCCAGGTTAATGTTTTATCTCAGAAAGAAAAAAACTGTTATTTTTTGAAGAAGGGGGAAAGCTTGCATTTTTAAAAAAGTTATGTATGGCATGGTTATCCTTTCTATGACAGCACATAGAATACAGTGAAACAGAGTTTGTTTATGACTGTCTTCTTTTTTGTTTTATTATGCTTGTTTGCCTAGAGTTACTTGGACTATTGAAGTGCCTGATGAATTGAATACTGTATACACTGAATGTAGCCCCTCCGGCCCCAATCCTTTGGCCTCTGCCTCCCAGCAATTTACCTCCCTGCAGCGAACAGCCCGTTTCAGCTTCAGCACAGCCTGATTAGCACAAGCAGTTGATTGTTGGTTGGATCGGCCTCCCGACCCTCAGCTGTTTCAGGCTGCAGGGATTGCCGTTGTCTATTGCCGCATGGGCCTCCGCTGCTTGCTGCAACAAGGCAAATTGCTGGGAGGCAGAGGCAGTTATTGTGAGTGTTTTATGAGTCTTATTTTCTTTTTGTTGTAAAATTTGTCTAGAATCAACAATTAGCTGGAATTTAAAAAGCATTTCACTAAGTTAATTAAAATGTTATCTGAAGGAAAATAAAAGAGAGGGGGAAAAAGCTTTACATCTAACATTGCGTGCTGAATAATTTACTGATTCTGATTACAATACCAATCTATGCAAAGAAAAAAAACAGTTCCAAACTGGTAAAATTTCATATTATTTCCCATATCCATGCATCCATGTGTATCTTGTTTTTCTCCCCAAAAAAGGTAGGTGCGTCTTATAGTCCAGAGCGTTTTATACTCTGAAAAATACAGTAAATACCTGTAATTTGTTAATAACAATTTTTTTCATATCTATCTTGTTCTTCTTACATACATCCAGAATGTAACCTCAATTGGTAACAAAGAGCACAAATACATTTTTATCAATTTAGTATCAAGTGATTCATCTAATTTACTGTTTAATTCCTCAAAACATTTTCTGATAAATTTGATGTAATTCCTCTCTATAAGTTGCTCTAGTCTAACGAGTCTCTACTCCCCTCTGCTACTTTTGCTGATTTTCTAGCGGTTGCCATTGTGATATTGTAATCCAAAGTAAAAGGTTCAATTGCAAGAGAAAGACTAAAAAGCAAGTCCGCCCCCTCTCCATTGTTTTGCCTTCCCAGACCCTTAATTCTTTAATCTTAGATGGCACGCCATAGTTAAAGTCAGCATCATAGTCTGGCTCATTTTTTTATATTTTATAAAATTCCCCAATTATCCGCACTTAAATTCCCACAAATGTCTGGTTCATTTGTCCATTTTAATTCCATTTCTCCCCCCCCCCCAGCGCTTTCATTGAAAAATCTTTTAAAGATTTAAAACCTTTAATCTGTTTTAAACTTTCTTATAACCACTCTGTTAAGCTTTTTGCCAAGTTTAAAATCTTTTATTCTTTTCATTTTAATCCAGAAAAATTGTTGACGCAACAAGTGGAATTTTCTTCCTATCACTCACAAAATCGCTCTAGCTGTAAATTATATTCAAAAGCATTTAAAAATTAAGCTTGTGCAAACCTTTTGTCCATATGAACTGCATTACAGCTGTGGACGTAGCTAACAGCTGTTCAACTCCCAAGCTTATCACAAAAATCTCAGTTCCTGAAATCTATTCACAAGGAGCAGCTGTCCAGAATGCAACTGGGTGCACACAAACAACTTTTTCTGGAAAGACTGCTTGAATTTACTGTCTGGCCACCATTGTTGCTGCACTCTCCACTCTTTCAGAGGTGTTTAATCTGCCATACGTGTTCACCAGAAGTCCAATTTCTTGCATTTTCTTATGTTAAGTTGCTATGCATATAGATGACTCGGCCTTGATGGTCCAGCAACTATCACTGACATAATGCATAAATATATATAGTTTCATTTTAATGCAAAGTGATAAACACACAGCACCCAAAGTATTTCTGCAGATTACCATTGTAGAAGAGACCTCATTGTTTCAAAATTATGGTTTAATGCTTTTGGTGGAGTAAATAATTATTTCTGAGCTAGTGATTTAGTTCCATTTGTTCCATTTTTTCCTGATAGATTAGCTCAATCAAATTAAACTGTTCATGCTTGCTAATGTTTGTACTCTTCTGTGAATGAAGCATGGAGAAAAGAAAGATCAATTTAAAGCACAGGTGTCAAACTCGATCGGGTCACGTGGCGTATCACAATGTTTTTTTGCCTTTGCGGAGCCGGGGTGGACGTGGCCTGCACGTGATGCATCTGGCCGCCAGTTTGACACCCCTGATTTAAAAGTATTGAGATTTATGAGCATGTTTTTTTAAAACTAAGGGTTTGATGGGACAGAGGTAAAAGATAATAGCTATATGGCCTTAGAAATTTTTAGTTAAAATTGTGAACTAAATAAGAATGTAAGAATAAGAATGTAAATAAGAAGTAAGAATTATGACCCTCAAATGGTTGCAGTCTAAAAAATACAAGATATAATAGGGAATAATATCCAAGAATGAATACTTTAGCATTTTGTTTTAAAGAGAAGCAGCACAATACAAGGAATCTCTTAAAACAGTCCACAATTATTTCCATGCGCAGCAGTGTTCTGAATTATTTTTCACAGAGCCTCCTTTTATAGAAAGGAAGACTCAACAAATGAGATGAATCAAAGGGTGAATCAAAAAATGAGATGAGCTCAAAAAAAGGCCTCAAGAGCCATAGTTTGCTTCATCAAATGCTTTTCGAGCCCGTTTTAGTTCTTCATTCATTGTTAACAAGTCCTTCACACGAGCAAATTTTCGCGGGTCTTTACGAATCAAGAAGACTATATCTTCAACCTGTACTCGACCTTGTCGGCCAATCGACATTGCTTTGTGGGTCTATTGGACAAAAAGAAAATCCATTTCAATTAAATCCAATTAAAGACATTTTCTGTGATGCTACTGAGTTGCTCAGTATTTAGACAATGTATTTGCTTATGAAAAAGAAACTAAAAGCTGATTATCCACTGACTTTGTGGCTGAGGGGAGACTAAAACCTGGATATTTCTGCTTCTAGTCCAACACTAATCACTATGCTATTTGGTTCATTAATCGTCTGAGAACCAGTTTGGTGCACTGATTAAGGCATTAGCCCAGAAAACAGGATACTGAGTTCTAGTTCTGCGTTAGGCATTAAATCCGGCTGGGGTACTTTGGGCCAGTTAGTTTCAACCCAACCCATCTCACAGGATTGTTATGACAAAAATGGGAGGTGGAAGTAGTATTAGATATGTTTGCTGCTTTGAGTTACTTATAAAGAAATAAAGAGCGTGTATGAAAAATTGTAAAACAAATTGTTATTGGAAGTTTAGATGGTTGTGTCATAATAGCTTTTATACACGTCTCTGAACTCTTCTTGGTTTTACATAAAACATAGAACTGCAAGGAAACAAAAGCCCAAATATACCATCTGTTGTATCAAATGTCTAATAAGTAGTAACGTATTATAAGAGCCTACCATTTCTGTGATGAATTCTATGACTAGATCTTCAAGAATATCCACAGATTCTGTGTAAGGATTCTGATCATCTCCAAATCCATACATCATACATCTCACTGGAATTAAGAAAGCAAAAATCATCTGCAGGAGGGCACCAAATGGAGCAGCCTGGAAGACTTATGATCTACATAATTATTCACAGTCTTCTAAATTCTCCATTCAAGCAAATGTTTAGTATTTTTAAAATAAGTCTACTGGGGAAAGTGTAGTTCAAACTTGTAAGGGAAAACAATGACAAATACTATAAGTATAAAAATACTTACTGTAACTTTAATATCAGTGGTTAAAAGATCATTTTAATAGAACATGTTGAAAGAGGAATATTCTTAGAAAAACTGCCACTTTTATAAACCAAATGAACAAAGTAGCCAACAAGTTCAGTTGTTTATAGTTTATAGTTTATAATTTATAGTTTAGGAAACTTGCACCACTTACATTATATAAGCTTTAGTACAACAGTTTTCATAGAAATGATATTTTACAATGAAACTACTTAAGAGAGGCGTTTGCCTTACTGTTAAAACAGTGGGCTAAAAAGCAAACTCTGCCCTTAGAACTGCCATGGAAGTATTAGCAAATGCAAAAGCCCAGAATACAAATATACTGCACTGTAGTAAAAATTAAGTATTTTATTAGTAATACAATAAATTGATGCACAATTGTTCATCACTAACTCACTGCAAGACCAACTGGCAATGAGAGACATATGACTCATAAAATGTGAAATATTATTCAATGGATATTTCATTTTCTGTGCTACAAATTGTATCAAATGACACATGAGCAAATGTAAATAACATTTAGACTTATATACCGCTTCACTGCTTTACAGCCCTCTATAAGCGGTTTATAGAGTCAGCATATTGCCCCCAAGAATCTGGGTCCTCATTCTACTGACCTCAGAAGGAAATGATGTTAAGTATAACTTAACCATCTCAATTTCTTTTTACTTAGTAATGCAGATTGATAGGATACAGATGCTAGACAAAAATCATTCAATAATTCACAGTAATACTGGCATTCAAAAAGTGTACCACATAAACAAAGAGTTTCTTCAAAAGTGGAGACTATAAAAGGGTTAAGCTTCCTCATTACCTATGAAAACATAGAAAGCTGCCTTATAAAAAATTAGGTCATTAAAACTAATATATCTCTATTTCTTATACTAATAGATGGTACTTCTTTGGTATTTTAACATGCAAATAATCTACTTTACTCTTACTTGTAAGGCTGACATCAACTTACATTCTTTGGAGAACAACCGTTTCCTTTTTCCCTGTCCACCATCTGGCCCTCCTCCAGCGTCTTCAGTATCTTCTTCAAACTATAGATAATAAATCCAACATTTGGGTGAAAAAAGAGGCATACCCTAAGATTAAGCTAAGAAACAAGGAGTCTTAAAATTATTAATAATAAAATTATTAGGATGGTTAAAAGCAAAGAGACAGCAAAGAGTTCTAAAAAGATCTCTTGAAGTTGGAGAAATAAACAGTACAATATGAAAATAAGTTCACTGTAAACAAAGATGAAATTATGCTTACATAAAAAACCAAATTGATAAGATCTCAGCTAGAACCTTGGGATGCTACAAGCAAAGTTCACAAAAACATCAAGTACGGCAACTGCAAAAGGCATATTCCATGCTACGTATCATTTGAAGAATTTAACAAACTTTATCAACAGTACAATAATGCCTTTATAAAAAATATATGAATACTATACAGTTCTGTCCACAGTACATTAAAAATGATATTAGAAACCTAGAAGAGAAATCTAAATGACAACCAAACTGGAGTAACTCATTTCAGAGAAAATTTTGATAAGTAAGAAAAAGAACTGAGCAAAAATAGAATACTATGAGAAAATGGATAGTATCCATTTATACTCATAATTCATAGTAGAGATACTCATAATTATATACTCATAATTCTTAGCAGAAGATTGTGCAGCAATTTGGAATGAAAGGAGAAAAAGTGATTCTTAGCACATGTTGGTACTTGTGTTGCACATATTGACAACTCCTTAAGCTGCATCTTGCTGTGCAACTCCCAAAAAGATGCATATGAATTAACAAAATGCCAGTAACAAAAGATGCAACATAACTGTCGATATGTATTCCCAATCAATTGTTCCACTCTGAATACAGATGTTTTACTCTAATATATTTCAGCATGTAAAGGTACTGATCTGTTTGAGCTGCTCTAAAACTAATTAGAAAAATTAGTAGTTTCTAACAGCTATTAAATATGCTAACTATGGGGGGATTGCATTCCATTCTGTTTCCTTAAATTGAGTTTCTCACAGACACCCAAAATTAACACTTTGAGTGATGGGGAAAGAGAAAAGATAATTTTTTAAAAAATATTTTCTACAAACTTTTTTTTGCAAATTCTATAAGCAAACAAGCTTTATAGTGTTTTTGCCTTTCAACTAATTTGAATCAAGGTTTAACTCTACAACCTCATTTATATGCCATGAATCCACGAAAAAAAAAAGTCCATCATCAAACACATACAGCTGTATTAAACCAAGGGGAAGTCCTATGGAGCAAATCTTATTGTGTATGCATCTTGAATGAGGGAGACTGTACATTTGAAATTACTTTGTAAAGCACCATACCACTATGAAATGTGATTCTTCTCAGATGTACCAGCATAGTCCATAGTCAGTAATGAAGGAAATACTAAGAAGATGTTAATGCAAAGTAGAAAAAGAATAATAGAAAGCAGAATTTTAGAATCTATAGGGGGTACATTGCTGGCCCACATCTAGTACACATTAATTCCACAATAAACTTCCTTAACAACAATTTAACTGGAATGCTATGGGGCTCCTGCCTTGAGTAGAGGGTTGGACTAGAAGACCTCAGAGTTCCCTTCCAGACCTATGATTCTATGAGATTACTGGGAATTACCTTGTATTTACAGGATTACATCAGAAAATGTAAAACCAAATTCAAATTTATCTACCTGTAAATCTCCTAATGCCCAGGGAATCTTATTACCAGTTTTGTTTGCATAAAATGAATCTAGATTGGAATCCTACACTCCGAAATCCAGAGCGAATAAAACAATTCATTTGGACTTATTTTATAGCCTTTATAGTCTTATTAAAGGTTTTCCCTGCTCATTATTCAAAATGATGCGCTGCTATCAACCAACAGGATGTAACTTTTAATGCGAATAATACCCAATAAACCCTGGGTTAAAATTTCAATTTTCTCGAATCGATGGGTGCGATTGTCTCTAGCATCCCCGGGAAATTTTGAGAAGGCGGGAGTTGGTTTTTTAATCACGGTTCACATCTTTTGTGCTACGCAACACCTTATGTTTCGGCTTCACTTACAGGTGGATCTTCTTCCTCGTCGGCCATCAGGAATCACCTCCTTCCAGGTATAAAAATCTAAGAGCGCTTCTGACTAGCAACTCTCCCCCTCCGCTTCAATACGGAAGGCAAGCGTTCAACTGCGCATGCTCCTTTGAGCAAATGACTCTAAACAGGGCTTCGGTTACTTTTCCACCGGCTTCATTGGACAAGTTACGCATGCGCAACCTTGAGAATGGCCGGCGCCAGAAGGTATTCTCCAGGGGTTTTCCACATCTGTTGGGAAGCATCTCCACGGACGCTTTAGAGCGGCGAACAGATACAGAAAACACACACTCGGGGCTGCTTTCTTGTGATCATCTGGATCTTTCCAGCCCTGATTTATAGCCCTAGTGTTTAGGTAGAAAGAGAAAAGTAGCTTTGAAATGTTAAACAATGATCGATAAATTAAGTCAGATTTGCTGTTTCTCCACCTAAGATACCGCCGTCCAGGGTGGTTTCATAAATACAAAGCTATGCTTGGCTTAATAAGGGAATACCGTACACATCAAAACTGAGCTCATGTAATAATCCTACATAAATCAGAAGAAATTCAGCTTAATTTGTTATGTAAATACAGCCACACTACTTTATTTGCCATTTTCAGTCTTGCCAAAGTAGCAGAAGCTTAAAAAAATAAAAACTATAGACTCGCATCAAAGCTTGTTATTTACTCTTTATCAGAATAAACATCCTTTATGATTTTATCTTCAAATATTGACATATATGGGGAATACTTATGTCCTCCCTGATATTCCAAGTATTTTGAGTTCATGAAATTAACATATCCGAGCATGCATTAAGATGCTGTATACCCTGGAAAATTAGTATTGTGATGAGTACATGTATGAATGTATGCATGGTAATGCATATTACCTCTGTATCAGGTGAAATCCAGCAGGTTCTGACAGGTTCAGGAGAACCGGTAGCAGAAATTTTGAGTAGTTCAGAGAACTGGCAAATACCACCTCTGGTTGGCCCCAGAGTGGAGTAGGAATGCAGATTTTGCAATATCCTTCTCCCAGGAGTGGGGAGGGAATGGAGATTTTGCAGTATCCTTTCCCTGCCACGCCCAGCAAGCCACACCACGCCCAAAGAACCGGTAGTAAAAAAAATTGGATTTCACCACTGCTCTGTATGAATGTAAATATGAATTGCTTCTGTATTGCTCATTTTGAGTTCACAAACTGGACTTCTTTCTGAAAAATCCTGCCTAAATCATTTAACTATTGCATTTGATCTTAATTTCAAGAAACAAAGAGTAGGCTGCTTGATAGGGAAGAGGATTGGAAATTAAAATGAAAGTATTTAGAACTGCAGACTGAGAAGCATCAGCTATCTGGATGCTTTAGCCCTATCATATGCCTCTGCTAATTAGAGAAGTTGTGCATTTGAGGCTTATTACCTCACTTGTGATTGATTCCAGTCAAATTATTATTGAATGTATTTTTAAATCTTCTGCTGGAATTTGTCTTTTAACTTAAATTCTTTATTTTGAGATTTGCAATCTTGAGTTGAAAGAAAAATGGTTTTGAGGTTTTGTGTGTTATCCATTCAGGATCTGATTGTCATATCTATCATCTTTCAAACCTAAAAAGACTCAAGAGCAGGGGTGCTATTCAGCAGGTTCTGACAGGTTCTGGAGAACCATTAGCGGAAATTTTGAGTAGTTTGGAGAACCGGCAAATATCACCTCTGGCTGGCCTCAGAATGTGATGGGAATAGAGATTTTGCAATATCCTTCCTCCAGGAGTGGGGGTGGGAATGGGGATTTTGCAGTATCCTTTCCCTGCCATGCTATGCCCACCATGCCCACAGAACCGGTAGTAAAAAAAAATTAAATTCCAACACTGCTCAAGGGTCTTTCATTTCTCATAATTTGGTTTACTTGATCTTTCTTTTCCTACTTCTAAGCATAACATTTAATCTTTGAAATTCACATTTAATCAACATAAGTGTGTATGTATATATGTATATGTATTTACAGTATGTACATATATAACAATATTGAATTTACATGGCATTTATTGTTCCAAAATAATTTATATTTATATAGCATCTAGCATGAAGTTTGAAATGATACTTCCAAATATAATGCTTTATTCAGTGGATAATGGAAGATTTCCAGTAACATGAGCTATGAAGCATCTCAATACATGGATTCCAGTATAATTCAAAGAACTGTGGAAACAAAGACAGAAATATTATATTAGCAGTCTCATAAAAATAAATTTGAATTGTTCTCTATTCTTGCTGTTGCTGCCTTTGCTTGAGGAACAACTCTTCCTTAGAGTTTAGGTTCAGCTAGATGGAAACACCTAGTCAACTTTGGCTGATCTCATGATCCTGAGCAGTCAGCTTTGGTAAGTATTGGGATGGGAAACCAAGATTGTAGGTTGTAGATGGTATCAAGTAGCAACTGCAACTCACATTTTAATACAAGGCAATGGCAAACTACTTCATATTATTCCAAGAAAACAACATATGACTTTGTTAGCTGTTACCTGATAGGAAAAAGTTGAGGAAAACATGTGTGAGCATTTTTCTCTACAAAGTCTTGAATCTGTAGCACATTTTTTGCCATCGCTGATTTTGATGCTTTGTCAATTTTGGTTAATACAAGCTGTCAAAAGACAAAAACATACCAACCAAAAATAGCTTAGAACAAGTTTTTGAAACCTTAAATTAAGTTCAGCAACGAATTAGGTTAAAGATCCTCACAGGCTGTTCTTTAAAAGAATAAGATCTTGACCTTTCCTCTTCCAACATTTTTTACTTTGAGATATATTTTTTGAATCTGAATTTCACTAACAGCTTTTATCTCTACCTACAAAGTACATGGCCTAACGGATGTCAAACTGGCGGCCCGTAGGCCGGATGCATCACGCGCAGGCCACACCCACCCCGCTCTGCAAAGACAAAAAAGGTTGTGATATGTCATGTGACATGATCGAGTTTGATACCCGTGCACTAGAACAAGTAAGTTATAATTGTGAGGTCAAATGGAATTACTGTATTTTTCGGAGTATAAGACGCAACAGAGTATAAAACGTACCTACCTTTTTTGGTGAGGAAAAAAAGAAAAAGAAATCTCCCTCTGCCTCTGAACAATTTTGCCTCGTTGCAGCAAACAGCAAACAGCCTGCTTTACTTTCATTTTCGTTTTCAGCACAGCTTGATTAGCACAAGAAAAAAAAATCTGCTCCAGCAATTTACCTCTTTGCAGCAAGCAGCAGAGCCCTGCGCAAAACAGCTGAGAGCAATCAGCTGAGAGTCGGGAGGCCAATCCAATCAACTTGTGCTAATTAGCCTATGCTGAACCTGAAAGGAGCTGTTTTTCCTTGCTGTTTGCTTGCAAGGAGGTAACTGCTGCGAGGCAGAGGCCAAAGGGTGGGGGCCAATGGGTGGGCGGGGCTACATTCGGTGTATAAGACGCACCTAAATTTTCATCCCCTTTTAGGGGGGAAAAAGATGCGTCTTATATTCCGAAAAATACAGTAACTTTGGGTCAAATTCTGTGTATTTACAGTGGACATAAAAAGTCTATACACTCCTGTGAAAATAAGTTTTTTGAGATGTAAAAAAAATCAGACCAAGATAAATCACTTCAGAATTTTTTTTTTCATTTTTAATATACATATAACACATACAACTGAATTGAAAAGCAAACTGAACAGGGGTGTGAGGACTTTTAATATCCACTGTATACTTCTTAAGGAATGAAGTCCACAAGTCAGTGATAAAGGAAGCACATAATATAGGCACATAATATAAATTTAATGAAGGGCTTAAAAATGCATTTCTTACAGGTAACACCTTTTTTTAAGCTAATATTTAGAATAGATTATGTTGGAGCAAAAGGGTTTATGTCAGGATTAGGCAACTTATTTAAAATGGATGGAAATGTTATATTCATTTTGCCATTATACTTCCACATTAATTTCTATGAATATGACGATTAAAATACTCATACATTTTTAGTACAATTTTAAAAACCCAGTTGGTGAGAGCAACATTTTAATTACAAATTTTATTGTTTGCATGCACATCTCTTACTAAACTGGAATATAATTCCTAAAAAACTGGCTGCTTCTGTTTCTTCACAAGTTTTTTTTTTTAAATTATCATAGACCAATGTTTCTTAACCTTAACAACTTTTAAGAAGTATGGACTTCAACTCTCAAAATTCTACAGTTGAGAAATGCTTTCTTAGACATAATTAATAGAGTCTGGCTAGATGGTATTTATGCTTTCCAGTTACTGTTGGTAAAGGTTTCCCTCGCACATATGTGCTAGTCGTTCCTGACTCTATGGGGTGGTGCTCATCTCCGTTTCAAAGCCGAAGAGCCGGCGCTGTCCAAAGACAACTCCGGTCATGTGGCCGGCATGACTAAATGCCAAAGACGCACGGAATGCTGTTACCTTCCCACCAAAGGTGGTCCCTATTTTTCTACTTGCATTTTTTACGTGCTTTCGAACTGCTAGGTTGGCAGAAGCTGGGACAAGTAACAGGAGCTCACCCCATTACGCGGCACTAGGGATTCGAACTGCTGAACTGCCGACCTTTCGATCGACAAGCTCAGCATCTTAGCCACTGAGCCACCACGTCCCCTATATATGATTTTTTGAGAATCTTAATATTATACACTCATTATTTTAAAGCAAGGTAAGTATGCTACTTACAACATAAGGGATCCCAAATTCTTCTAACATTTCTACAGCAATGTTATCCATTTCCTGAATTCCTTCTTTAGCATCTACTAATAAGAATGTACGCTTCAAACTGCAGTAAATAGAAACAGAGCCACAACTTCTCACAAATATAATAGGAAAACAAATAACAGTCAAGCATGAGAAATAGGTGGTTTTTTTATTCCTAATTTTTAAGTTCAGAAATATTTATATTCTATCATTCTACCATACATTTATACCATTATTATGTGGTAAATTCTCCTTTGGCAGAACAACGGAGGTAACCATTTTGAGTGAAGATACATTTTGCTTTTTTGAGAAAATGTGCTGTTTCAGATAGAATTGAAGTGACTCAGCAAATTAGAGCAATATGGCTTCACCCATACCTCAGGAATTACTTTAAAATTTAAAGTTTAAATAGTGGTTATAACAGCATTGTATTTTATCCAAATTTAATCGTTGTTTCACTTAAACTTTGTTTTGTATGCCCAAGCGCATCTCTCTAAATTTTACAACTCTATTCCCCCTCTCCTAATCCCACAGAAAAATTTCCAAGAAATTATAATTTTCAATCTTACTTTGTGCGTTGAGTTAAATAAGGCTCCACCATCTCTGCAAAATCTTTGGGTGCTTTAAACCCATACCCTGGCATATCCACCAAAGTGAAGAATTTTCCCACTTTGAAAAAATTCATTTTCTTTGTGTGACCCTGGAAAAAAAAGGAGCTTTTTCTTCCCGACTTCTTTCAGATAAAGCATTATGGAATCTATGAACTTATTTAAAATATACTTTTAAAAATATAAATTCATGACAAAGTCTAAAAATTTATCTGTCAATCCTGAACATTAAATAAAACATAAATCTGTAGATTATTGTAGATAATCTGCAACTCAAAAGACATATACAGTGGGGCAAAAAAGTATTTAGTCAGTCACCAATTGTGCAAGTTCTCCCACTTAAAAAGATGAGAGAAGCGTGTAATTGACATCATAGGGAGACCTCAACTATGAGAGACAAAATGAGAAAACAAATCCAGACAATCACATTGTCTGATTTGGAAAGAATTTATTTGCAAATTATGGTGGAAAATAAGTATTTGGTCAATATCAAAAGTTCATCTCAATACTTTGTTATATATCCTTTGTTGGCAATGACAGAGGTCAAACGTTTTCTGTAAGTCTTCACAAGGTTGGCACACATTGTTGCTGGTATGTTGGCCCATTCCTCCATGCAGATCTCCTCTAGAACAGTGATGTTATGGGGCTGTCTCTGGGCAACACTGACTTTCAACTCCCTCCAAAGGTTTTCTATGGGGTTGAGATCTGGAGCCTGGCTAGGCCACTCCAGGACCTTGAAATGCTTCTTACGAAGCCACTCCTTCGTTGCCCGGGCGGTGTGTTTGGGATCATTGTCATGCTGAAAGACCCAGCCACATTTCATCTTCAATGCCCTTGCTGATGGAAGGAAGTTTGCACTCAAAATCTCACAATACATGGCCCCATTCATTCTTTACACGGATCAGTCGTCCAGGTCCTTTTGCAGAGAAACAGCCCCAAAGCATGATGTTGCCACCCCCATGCTTCACAGTAGGTATAGTGTTCTTTGGATGCAACTCAGCATTCTCTCTCCTCCAAACCCAATGAGTTGTGTTTCTACCAAACCGTTCTACTTTGGTTTCATCTGACCATATGACATTCTCCCAATCCTCTTCTGGATCATCCAAATGCCCTCTAGCAAACTTCAGACGGGCCTGGACATGTACTGGCTTAAGCAGGGGGACACGTCTGGCACTGCAGGATCTGAGTCCCTGGCGGCGTAGTGTGTTACTGATTGTAGCCTTTGTTACGTTGGTCCCAGGTCTCTGCAAATCATTCACTAAGTCCACCAGTGTCGTTCTGGGATTTTTGCTCACCGTTCTTGTGATCATTTTGACCCCATGAGGTGAGATCTTGCGTGGAGCCCCAGATCAAAGGAGATTATCAGTGGTCTTGTATGTCTTCTATTTTCTAATTATTGCTCCCACGTTGATTTCTTCACACCAAGCTGCTTGCCTATTGCAGATTCAGTCTTCCCAGCCTGGTGCAGGTCTACAATTTTGTTTCTGGTGTCCTTCGACAGCTCTTTGGTCTTTACCATAGTGGAGTTTGGAGCGTGACTGTTTGAGGTTGTGGACAGGTGTCTTTTATACTGATAACAAGTTCAAACAGGTACCATTAATACAGCTAATGAGTGGAGGACAGAGGAGCCTCTTAAAGAAGAAATTACAGGTCTGTGAGAGCCAGAAATCTTGCTTGTTTGCAAATAAATTCTTTCCAAATCAGACAACATGATTGTCTGGATTTGTTTTCTCATTTTGTCTCTCATAGTTGAGGTCTACCTATGATGTCAATTACAGGCCTCTCTTATCTTTTTAAGTGGGAGAACTTGCACAATTGGTGGCTGACTAAATACTTTTTTGCCCCACTGTACAGCAGATTCATTTTTGAAACAGTACTGCAGCGTACTGCAAAACACCTAAAATGGAATAAAAAGTGTCTATTTATATGTATCTCACTTTGATATTCTATTAAAAAAACTGAAGTAGTTTCAGTTTTCAACCAGTATTTTCAGTCAGGATAGCCAATGGATGGGGTTAGTTTGGAGCCATATCCAAAATATCGTGAGAACACTAAGTTTTTCTATTAACCTGTTCTTGACTTAACAGAAACTTTATACATATATATTTTAGACCTCACTATAATAAAGGAATATACCTATGTAGTATTTACAGGTCTGTCATGTAAATTCTCAGTCTCCCCAGGTCAAGCAGAATTTCTGTTTAAGTTTTCTGGGATATAAATTAAACATTTGCCCATAATTAAAAACCCTGATAAAAGCAAAATCCCATGGAGTATTCTACTCAAATTCAAGCATGACAAAGTTTGGTATAAGTCCAATATATATTTATGTTGAATAAAATGTGAATAGGTTGACTGGACGGAACAACATACGTGTTATTTGTATATTCTGTAATCCCTCATTAATATAGATGCCTAACACTTTAAAATTTTCACCCTGTAATTATGAAATTGTGACCAATAAGTGTATGATGCACTTATTCAAAAAATTTACCTGACCTTAAAACTATATTGTTTCAGAAATAAAGTTTTACAATACAGATATAACTTGTTTTGCTTATGCTCTATTCACTTTGAAATAATGCAATCAATCTTCACAAGACACTTACAGGACGTTTGGAAATTCTGACTTCAACATCAGGGGCCAATGAAAACAATGCTTTAATTAAAGATGATTTTCCAACATTGCTTCTTCCTAAAAAGCAAACCTGGAAGAGAAAGTTATAGTGATTTCACTATTCCATTCATGATGCAATAAACAATATATAATTTAAACAAGGCATATTGATAGTAGCCTGGGGCTTTCCAGATGTGTTGGTTAGTATCAGGAAGCTGGTGTCTTTAATACCAACCTAATATCTGCAGACTCTTGAAAGGGGGGCCTGGGTCCAGCAATGGATACAGATGGAATTCCTGATGAAACCACCCTACCAGGACAAGGTATGACTTGGATTACTCCACTCTTTTAGTTCTGTGTTCCTGTTCTTAGTACGTGCCATTTAGTGAAGGGAAGGCAGCAGATCTGCTTACGTGTCTTGCTTCTCCTAGGGTGGGAAAAACCTTCCTCATGATCTCTGATGCTACCTCTATCTCTGTCCGCTGGTTAATACTTGGATAGAAAGTCACTTGGAGATCAATCCTGGACCATCTGCAGACTCCTGTTAGGGAAGGGAGGTATGTGTTTTGGAAGGCACTATAGTTGGAACCAAGCAGTTCCTACTACCTATCCACACCTCCTCATCAACCACAGCCGTAAGTGCTGATTACCTAGTAGTATATTGACTGATCATCTTTATGCCACTTTGAGGGGGGTAGCTGTTCCTGAGCTCCAAGTCTTTTCTGGTTACCTTCAATTAGTATTGCTCAAGAAAGAGCAGTGAATCAGGTGAGAAAAATCCCCCCCCCCAAGTTAAAATATAAGCTGTCTACTTGTCATGCTCATTGTTTGCTTCTTTTACAAAATGAGAGCTTCCATGGCTCTGCAACCTGTGTGGATTTCTGCAATCTGCAACCATTACCCACCTATCCATCTCTTCTCATGACGTTATTGTGAACAAAAAGCTGGAGTCTTGTTCTTGTTTGCTGCTGCACATAAGCAAATACTTGTGTTATTTTCCTCCCTATGACTCTTCTTCCATCCTTCTCAATAACATTCCTAAATCTCTCTTTCTCTCACTTAATTAAACTAAAATGAAGCCAAAGAGAAGTCCTTACTCTCTTGTAAAAGGTAGAGTTAAGACTGAGAGTTTAAACTTTCTAGCCAAAGTAGTTTGTTTTAGCTAGCCGGGATCAATATTTTTTAATTCAAGCTCACAAAACTTGCTAAACTACAATAAAACGGTAGGAGTTATCTTAGTGTTTCAAGCTTGTTCCCAAATTCCTGTGACGAAGGTAATACTGATATACAGAGGTTGAAAGAAAAAACTGGGAGAAATTGTGCATTCAAACAATATTTTCACTCCTGAACTACAATTGTTTTTATTGAGTTGCCAATGTTACAAGATTAGCTTTATTTATAGTGGCTATCATTTTGTTTTGTGGATCTTCCCATTTAAAAACCAAAGCTACAACAAAATGAATTTGGATTATATTTCTTGCAAAACCAGATAAGTACCTGAACGATAACACTGATTTAAAATAGAAAGAGATAGATAGTATGAATCAGCTTCTGTTTATCTTTGAGTCATTTATAAACAATGATTACCCAAAGGTGCTTCTTCTTAAATGAGAAGCGAAATTTCTTCAAAGAAAAAACAGAAAGTTCAGCTGCCTCTTGAAAAAGCACCTTTGGGACAACCATGACCTGGATGACTGAGAATCTTCATAGACAATAAATTATTAAGTAGATATTTAATCCCTTATTGGTCCATCCACCAGGTTACCTTTGCAAGTCTGCTATTTGGGCAGCATTCACATCACAAGGACCAAAAATTTGTTTACAATAATAGAGATATTCTGCAATTAAAAAATACAAAGATTTCTACAACCTGGACTTTTGGAAACTTTTTTTTTCTTCTGTATCCCACCCTCTGCTCAACATGTCAAAATAGCATAATTTTGATACCATTTGTCCTTCTTCCTCTTAAACCTAAATAATAAAAATGGAACCTCCTTTTCACTGATCCCACCTCAGGCTCAGACATTTCTGGGGCATGAGCCATCCGGACCGCAGAAGTGGAATAATCAATGATATGTTGATGTGATGGAATGAAAAAAAAACTCGGCTGTCTGGATGTCCTTCTGGTTAGGTTTGAAAATGTAGAGGGATGATTTGTCCACATTAGGAGAAAAGAATTTTGCCAGATCTTGGAGAGGAAATGTTATGGCAGTAAACTGTTTTTCAGGGAGCTGCTGAACTTCTGTAAATGAAGCATACTGTACAGGAGTCCTGCTTCGGGTCATAAGCCTTTTCTGTAGTAGGCTGATATATCTGCTAGATTTTGACAATTGATGCACCTTCACGCATATATTTTCCATCATCACGGCAACTCAGTAACTATAGATATGTATCTTCAAACAGGAAGTTTCAAGTCCAAATTTCTAGTGAGAAAAAAGGAAGAAAAAGTTAGCAATCATGATTGCTTTAACTCAGCTTTCTCTAACCTGGTGCTCTCCAAAGGGATTGGCCTTCAAATCTTATCATCATCAGTCCCCTATTTTTAATGGATGATGGAAATTATCATTCCAAATATCTGGAGAGCATTTGGGTTGGGGATCATTTCCGTAGGTAGTTAAAAAAACAGTGAAACGGAGGCTGTACAAATCTAATAACTAAATAATACCACAAACATTTTACTCCTGACCCCTATCGCATTTTTTTTTCTTTAACTGATGCTGGCTAAAAGAATACATCATGTCATCCTGTATTTGCTCCTAGTGAATAAGATTCAATCACGTCAAAAAAATGATTTCCTTTTGCTAGATAAAATCGGATATTTAAAGGCAGATGTTTTTGGGGGGGGGGGGAAGGAAAGCTGCAATAAAGATTTAGCAATAAACAAAAGATAATCTGGAAGACGGTGCAGCAGTAATTATAATATAAAATCCATACATTAGAACAGCTAAGTGATTTTTTTATTTATTTAAAGAAATGCATTTGAGGCGGCAAAGTTGCTTCCCCAAACACAGAAAGGAGACTTTTAACGCAATCTGATTGCAGGGACGGGGATCAAAAGAAGACGCGCACAACCACAGCAGAAACCAAGGTCTCACCATTCACGCTTCTATCAGTACGGAAAGCCAGCATGTCTTACCCGGAAGCCGGGATTGCTTGCTCTGAAGTCTTTGACCCGGACGCCAGAGAACATAGAGATAGAAACAGATGACGGACCTCGCAAGGCAGTTTAAAAAACAAACCACATTGTATACCCGTGATTGAACCTGAATGAATTAAAAAGCAGTTCCCTTCCGAAATTTTTACAGTTGTGGGAATTTGGCTTTGGCAATGATTACGAGTTGTGTTAAGCTTTAGATTGATTCACCTTCTGCTCTTAGCCATGTTGGAAGATACGATTCACTCCTAGAAAAAGGAAAAGAAACTCAAAATATATTAAAAGAGCAGGAAAGTTCCCCTAAAAGAAAATAAGCAGAAACTCAGGCAGAGTTTCAGCCCCCACCTTTGTCAATGGGCCATTAAGAGGCTGAAGCCACCCTATTTTCCACAACAAAGGAAGGACAAAATTATAGGGGCCTGCAACATCCAAACAGGTACGGGACACAGAAAAAAGCACCAAAAAGGAAAAGAAATCAAGCCAAAGTAATTAGAATTTTAAACACATGAGAAAAGGAGATATTCACTAAAACACAGTAATAACAAACTGATTAATTATAGGGAACAAACAACTACAAAGGGCTGGGAAAAATAGAGATTGGACTATAAAACAATTATTTGTCAGATCCAGGAAGGAAGAACCCAATCACAAAAAAGCAAGATTTAAACACCATCAAACAATTACACACACAAATCAAAGGATTCACATGCCAAATCAAAAGAATTTCAAAAGACTTTAAAGGGTCACATAGAAAAATCAAAAGACCTTTTAGGATATAAAAAAAGGGTTTTTCTTACAGCTCAAACAGGCTAACCTCGGAATGCTGTGCTTGTATTTGTTTCTTGCCTGCCTTCCTATAAACAATAAACTAATTCTGCTCTCAAGCAGCTGACCTTCAATCATTTCCAAGTAATCTCCCAGCCGGGAGTTTTGAATTCAAGAAGGGAAAGCTCTGCCTTCCAACAATCCTTAAAGGGAAAGGCTTCTTTTTCTTCCAACAGCCACAACGTGGTTAGTGTTTTTTGCGTGGGCATGTTGTGTGAATTTAATCATTGTGGCTTATCCATCAAACAATGGATAACTCCATAAGAAAGAGGTGATAGAATAAGAGTACCATATATTTTGATGGAGGAATTTGTGGCTTTTCGTGTGTAAGCAGCTTCATAGGTAGGTCCGTTTGTTAAAAATGAACTTATACCATATATAAGCAATAGGAAATCATCAAGAGTAGACAGAAGTCTTGGAACATTTATAACATTAACAAGACAACGGTTTAACATGAAATGTGCAGGGTGTTTTCCCTACAGTCGGTGATTATGCTCGGCAAGTAGTTTATCAAAGTCTATGTGTTCACATTTAACTCTAATTCAGAGTTTTATTACTCAAGCAAAACAGATGTGCTCATGTATCATGTCCACACTAAGCCAAACATATCAAAATATGATTTAGGGCTTATCAGCCCTAAAATAGGCTGATAATGATTTTGAAGCTGTCAGAACAAAATGTTTGGTTTCAAACACTTATGAGTCCCTGACATTCTATCTGTAAGCAGTAACACAATAATACCGTAATTTATTGTTTGGCAGCTAGGTGGCAATACAGGCAAAAAAGCATTTTTCTGGGAATGTACCTATTGTAAGGAAAAAAGTTAGTTGTGAAAGTTTGAAAGTTTGTGTCTAGTTCTCAATTGGCCTGATCCAAACCTTCAAATCTATTTTGCTTGTGCTTGCTGCCTATTTTTTTCCCCTATGGCAAATCTTAATCAAAAACACTATTTGGATGGTAGTCACAAAAAGTTTTCAGGTCCTTTATCTTTCAAGTGTTTTTAATTATTATGGATCTGCTTTGTCCTTGTGCAAAATTTGGGCTTTATCCAACCATGTTAATATGCCTGTTAGTAGGAATAACACCACTTAGCTACCTAAGAACTGGGATGTTAGAGGGAACAATGAAATAGAGGAAACAATGATTAATTATGCAGTAAATTTAATCTGGTTTACATTTGTGAATAAATATTCAAGAAAAGAATAGAAGAAAGACATATTTTTTTCAGAAATATAAAGTTAATATTAAATATTTGTCATTAATGTTAATATTTAGTATTAAATTATGTGCATGTACTATTTTCTCTAATAAAATATCTATCTAATAAAAGATAACATAAATCCACCATGTTCCTAATAGTTGTGAGTAGAATTTATACATTTATAATTTTTATAATTTATACATTTTTTCCATGAGACTTACAGAAGCAATTACAAGAGGCTAAATTTGTTATCTATTTGATAATGCTACAACTCCAAATGGCTGGGGAATTCCAAGAGTCGTAGTCCATACATCTTAAAGTTGCTTGGGTTGAGAAACTCTAAAGCTTGGAGCCTCAATACAAGCCACAATTCTGAGAACAGAATTTTTCTACTGACGCATGCAGTATGTATGGGAATGAAAAAGAGGAATTTTGCCTGTAAGTCTTGGTTGTTTTTTATAACTTCTCAGACAATTTCTAATTATAGGCTGATGACACAGGCATGACATGGCAAATATAGAAGCCAGATTCTGGTGGGAAAAAAAAGCATTGTCAAACAGATAATAAATTTAGTTTCTTGTTGAAAATTGCTTCTGTAAGTCTCATGGAAAAAATAAATTATGTCTTTCTATTACATGAACATTTCTTAGAATAAATTATTTTAAAACATCTGTGCTTTTTACATGATGAAGCAGTAATGTTTATGTTGTATATCTTTGCTTCAGCTCTGGCTACACAAGATTTAAATTTCACAATTCTTGCAGGCCCATGTTCCTTGCTGCTGTGGTTAAACTTTTTGTGTAAAAAATACATGAAATTCTAGGGCTTTTTTGGTTTTATTCAGCCAATAATAATAAGTCAACTGAAGATAAGTTACTGCAACCTTTTGAATGTCTGAACTCTTTACCAACAAGACAAAAACCATTCGTCCCCTCCCAAAAAGAGAGGGAGAGACAGAAATGTGTTTTTCAAGACATTTATATGTCAGTTGACATTCCCAGGTTGAGTGAAATGGAAATGCTTTCTGATATACAGACTAGGGGGGGGAAATGGTATAATTTTAGTCATCAGAGCAAGGCAGGGGCAGGCAAAAGCTAAAGGCTATATTTGATGTTTTGGAGAAGGGATGGGAAAGAGGGACAGAGTAGTCTTACAAAATGAGCAGGGTTTCGTCATGTATGTAAACAACCAGGATTTTTCTGTTTGGGGTAGAGTGGGTTGTTTTAATTGTGTGAAGCCTTTTTTGGAGGTGTTGAAAAAAATATCCTTCTGGGTTCAGTTCCAAGTGGAGAAAAACACTGGATTCATGGAAGTTGCTTGGAAAGAAGGTTTATTGATGAACAGGATCACATGCCTTGGAGATCTTGGGCAAAAAAAAGGGAAGAGATGCTGAGAGTCCCTGGGTTTTATACCCTCTCTGGCTTTGAACTTCCTGGGGCACAGGAAGAGTATCCTAATTGGTTGTTGTCAGAAGTCATGGCTAGCTTTGTAAGTTGTCTATATGCTAAATTTGGTTGAATCTTGTTGGGTGATACAATGAAGGGGAATTAAATGGTTTTGCCTGAAGGAGGTAGATCTTTGTTATGTAGAATGCTCAATCTACAACAAAAAATAGGATTCTGGTTTCAGCAAAATTGAACCTCAGATATCCATTTTGCCTCAGCGTATAATAATAAATAATATCTATCCAGGCTTAGGGCCTAAGCAAGTAATGTCTAATGGGTTGTGTCTCACAAGGACTAATAAAATTGTATTTGATCAAAGACAGTGAGCTCAGTTAGGAAGGCTTTAAACTGAATGCTGTGGGGATGAAAGAAGAAGGTAAAGGATCTTTGATAAAGCCTTGATTCTTGTAGAGGGATATGAGAATCATGGGGCCTATTAAACTCAACAAAGTATCAGGAGAAAAAGACTCATAGTTCATGATCCTTACTAACTTATACTGATTCACAGAGCACGAGAATACAAAGGCATATATGATTGGATGGGATATCTACCACAACTGTAGTATAGCAATACAATAAATCCAGCTTGATCAAAGGAGACAGAAGTGAAACAGAAGTTACATTGTTGTTAGAAGTATTTTTATTAATTTTAAAATCCAAGTGAACGAACCTGGTGATACTGTAGACAGCAAATAGGTAGGTTAAAATAAGTAGAGGAGCAAATAAAATAAAAGCCAAAGCATATATAATAGCAATATTATTAGTATTAGATTTCAGTCATGAACAATTTCATTACATAAATAATTACAGTTAGGATATAATAAACAAGAAGCATTCATGGCATACTCTATGCAGCACCCAGCTTAAAATAAGTGGAAGAACAAATATCTTAAAAGACAATTCATAGCATTTTTTAAAAAAATAAGAGAACTAAGCTAAAATAAGAAGATTAATAGAGACAAATGTAAATAATAGGGCAAAGGTTAGTAGGTAATAAGAAACATGGGAGCAAATTCATTAATGAATTTGGGCAGCATATGGGCCCTTGGTATGTAGTATTTATATTCACAACTTCAACTCAAACCTCATCACTTTTTGACTTCCCCTGTCAATGTCCCTGCTTGAAACTCCCTCAGGTGTCTGAATGCTTCCTGATAAATTATTCTATCTGGTCTGCATCTTCAGCATCAGCATCATTTTCCACAAAAAAGGGAAAAAGGGTTGGGAATGGATAAAAATTGAAGTTTTATCATATGAACAACATACTTTAACATACTAGGATCAGAAATCGGCAAGAGCGAACACTGTAGAAACTAATTTTAATTCCCATTTAGTGGCATCTGCTATTTACATGCATTTTTATTAAAGGGTACCTTGGCAGAAACGCTGCATTTCTTAGAAAACTAAACTATTGTACCATTTTGAGTCACATTAGTGGAAATTAATACACTTATTTCCTTTGTGTAAACTTATTTTGAACTTAAAACACCCACCAAAAGCATAGAACCATCCTCAGCTACCAATTTAAGCACTGGTTTTGCTTTTGTTTTTCTCTCATGCTTTATTGTCCTATTTCAAGTTTTTGTTCATAAACTGCAAAATATAATACTGGGGAAGCTTGTAGATTTTTAAAAAGTTAACCATTTATTTTACTACACTGTAAAGATGTAAGAAAAATTGTCAACAGTGATGCTTTTTGACTAAGACAATTGATGGTATGGTATTTTTACCATCCATAACATCACACCCAAGGCAGCAAGCTAGTCTAGGGAGCTTAAAGCAAGTCCTGCTCTTCATTTTAACAGAGAAGACAAGGTAGAGAACTCAAGAGAAACAGCCTTAGAGGGCTTTGCTATTTCTGCCCTCAAGCATCAGTTTGCCTGAAGATTTGGCTAACTCTGCCTAATTGTAGGGGCAGTCCTGAACAGTAAATCAAGTCGTTTATCAAATTTTGAGAATATTGGGCTTTTCCCCCCTCTTCCTATCAAATAGAAAAGAAAGTAATTGCTTCTTATCTGTTTGGTTTTTTAAGTTGTTTTCAATTGTTCTAAAGTTGTTGTTATTATATTGCATATTTTAATGCGGCCAGAATTATTCTAGCACAAATGTGAAAGTCGACCAATACACCATTGGAAGAAACAATAATAAAGAAAATCCTCATATGCGCCGAAATGGATAAATTAAAGATGGAGATCAAAGAAAGAAAAGACTCGGATTATTATAAAGTGTGGAATAGGTTTTATACATGGTTGGAAAACAGAAATCAAATTAAGAAATAAGAATATAAAGTGAAATTTAAATTAATATACTGGATATAAATGTAAATAATGATCCTGCTAACAAAACAGTTAATTATGAATATTTAAAAATAAAGAGAAGGAGCGAGAGGATAAAAGCTAAGAGTAAAGACAAAAGTCGATGCAGAAAGTTGTAAAATTGTATATCTATGTTAGTATTGTATTTTAATGTCTGATGTGTGTATGTGTGTGAATGTGTTTTGTCTCTTGACTTCTTTTGCTATTGTGTGTTTGGTTTTAAAATGTAAAATACTCAATAAAAATTATTTTATAAAAAAAATGAAAAGAAAGTAATTGCTTCTTATCTGTTTGGTTTTTAAAGTTGTTTTCAATAGTTCTAATGTTGTTTTTAAATGGCCAGTAAATTTATGATTGATTTCTCTGTTTTTATGTATTCAATCATAGCCAATTTGTTATGTAACAGCTTTTCGATTTTCATGAAAAGAATGACAGAAAATTTTTGTGGATATGAAATAGAGAAGCTTGAAGCAGTCTCTGTTTTGAGACAGTGCCTGGGTTCATCTAGCCGCCGCCTTCTTTTTCTTTGAATTTTATTGGAAAAACTTATCTTCACAAGACAGCAGCTTTGTTTAGGGAACAAATGAGAAAAATGCTTGATCTGTTTCCTCAGTGATCACATTTTGACTGTAAGCACAGGAAGTCTTGCACAGTACAAAGACAGTTGACAGAAGCAAAATTGATAATCAGTTGCTGCAGAAATGAAAGGATATTAAAAGGAGGAGAAAGATGCCATCTGGCATTTTAAAAAAATGTTCACCGAAAGATGCTCATTAGAACAACAAATAGTTGTACAATAGAATGGGTCAAGTAGAGAAACACTTGTGTGAACCATGGAAGCAAAATGCAGTGATTTTATTATGAAGATTTGGGGTGCTGGGACCCTTCTCACTATTATGATGGCCATGGCAGTATCTGGTAAGTTCAATATGTTAAAGTAAGTAAATATGTTGTTTTTCTCTGGAACATTTGCTTCTCTGTTTTGGAAAGGAGTAAAATATTTTGCAAAAGATCTGGGATATATTTAAACAATTTTTAAAAATAGAATATTTTGTAAGTAGTTGTCAACACCTATATTCCTAAAGCAATGGCCCTTGCTTTATCATGGTGAAATTAAGTGGCATTATTATATAAAAGTAAGTTCATATTATAACCTGAAGAATAATGATAGAGTGAGAAAAATGGATAATCATTCTAGGTTATAGTGATATATGTACCCTGTTTCCCCCCAAATAAGACATCCCCTGATAATAAACCTAATCGGGCTTTTGAGCGTATGGCAATAAGGCCAAGCGCTTATTTCAGGGTTCAAAAAAATATAAGACAGGGTCTTATTTTCGGGGAAACACGATACTTAGTAATTTATTTTAATTCTTTATTATTTTTATATTACTGTTTGTGTATGTATTTATTCCATAATTCTTCCAGAGTTCAGAGTTGCACATATTGGTCTTCCTTCACACATTTTATATCCATAGCCATCGAGACTATCTTAATATATGGGAAATGGCCATCTTATGCTATGAACTTTACAGTGAGTAATTAAAAAGTATCACTTTGTTCTAATCTAAACACTATGCCATACTGACTTTACACCGCTATGTATACAAGCCTAATGCATGACGATTTAATGTACAAACTACAGTATCCAGTTGAATGATTCTGGAAGCCACTTTCAAATTTGACCTTAGGAAATAAGGTGCCTTGTTTAATACGTTTCTGAATGCTACTTGCCAAATCAATAATTTATTCAGTTTTGTAGTATAACTTGGACATCAAGTAAAGAGTATACATTCCGTATTATAAGTTTTATAGGGCTAGCCCTATCAGGAGAAATTGTTCAAAGGAGTACAATATTTTACAAACATTTTATTTAGATCAAAGATGTTCTTCAAGGTGTTATTCTGCTTGCAGGAAGTAATGCAAAATTTATTAATTCTGTAGGCCAAGCATGCTATTATATGTTAAATCATCTGTTTCCTTTGTTAAAATAGTTATTGAGCCAACCCATGCTATAGAAAAAAGTAGGAATAACAGAATTGGAAAAGACTTTGGAGGTCTTCTAGTTCAACTTGGTTTTTTAATTTATTTATTGATAAATGTATAAAGATGGTTTGTGAAAATGTTAGGAGAATATTTATTGAATACATAGGCCACCAAATCATTCCAATGTCCAATGGTTTACATTACAACAAAATAATACACAATAAAAACATCCTTCATAGTAAAAACCAAATAATAAAACAGCTGTGATAAAAAAAATAAGAAATTATGCCCCAACCTTTGTAATACAAAGAACTAAAAAAAAGCCCTAAATTAATAGTTACAATAAAAATAAAAAAAATGTAATTAAAAAGGGGTGATGATGAAGGATTATGTCCCGTAGACGCTCTGTATAAATTTAGCCTTTGGTGATTTTTGGAAAGCTATTATGGAAGGCAGCAGTCTCACTTCTGGAAAGAGGTTGCATCATTGATAAACAATACTTTCTAGCCACAGCTGTCCTGACATCATGAAAACAAATGTCTGTATTCTCTTATATGTAGATAATATGTTTGTTACTGAAAACCTGAATGATATTTAGGAAATGTTAGAACACATTGTATAATGCCACAAGCATGAATCTCAAAATTAATGCATCAAAGGCAGTTGTCTTTGACAGGAAATGTGAAATGAAACTTGGAAGTTATATATATGGTAAATGGTGAAAAATTAGTTATGTGGTAAAACTAGACGATGTAATATCATTAATAAATGATACAAAAGTGAATGATCAGTGCAAAAAAAGTACATTCAAGTGGTTTGGCCATATAAAGGGATCGAATGATAATTGCACTTGAAAGCAAATAAATGAGGGAAGAATGAATGGATTGAGAAAAAGGGCTGCTAGAGAAAACCATGGTTGGATAGAATGGGTGAGAGATCCTCAGAAAAAGAGGAGTGAGAAGGCTGATGGACAAAATGACAGTGATGAATCAGTGTATTAATGTGAGAGAAGCAAGAGTGATTTGCCGGCGTAGAAAAGTGGAGAGAAGTATAGTGGATGGTTTGAGGTAAATTCAATTAGTTTGACTTCTGTTTCTTTTCTTTTTTTAATTTATCTTTTCAGTACTTTTAATATTTTTCTATGCTTTGCATAATTTAGTTTATACTGATAGGATATAACGCATTGGGTTCTCAGAGGTCACTGGAGGATTAGGCCATTTGTTAACCATTGTTTTTAATGTGTTGCTAGGCTCTGAGAATTTCATTTGTTAAATGGGTGGCCATATAAATCAATTTGAAGGTGTGGCTAACTGATGAGGGCTTATAAGTCCGAAATAGATCTATCTTAGTCTCCTTAGTCTCCCAATGGGCAGTAGTCCACCATAAATGATAAAAAGTCTCTTCTTTACATTTATGTTTCCAACATTCATTTGAGGGTACCTTTATACATTCTTGACAATTTATCTGGAATTAAATACCAACGATACATCATCTTATAAAATTTTTCTTTTAAATTATAGCTCAATGTAAACTTTAAACCTTTATTCCACATATTCTCCCACTGTTCAAGCATTATATTATATCCAAAATTCCTTGCCTACTGAATCATACAATGCTTTACTTGTTCATTTTCCAGATGTAAATCCAATTACACTTTATAGACTTTTGCAATAATATGTTCATCACTACCACACAGCAAAGTATCCAATCTATTTTTAACAAAGTTAAACCCATGATTTGTTTTTATCTAGTTTAAATCTTTCTTTCATTTATAAGTATGTAAACCAATGACAAACATGACCTTCTGATTCTAACTCCTCCTTAGATTTGAGGGTAGGAGCTCCTAAATTAAAAGATATTATTTTACTATAGATCCACCGTTTGGCCTTGTCACCATTTCTTTTCTAAAATGTGGGTTTCCTCCTGTGGGGAAACCCAAAAAGGCATCTTTGTGGAAAACCATGTTTACCTATAATAATTCTTGATAACATTTATTTCTATATCTTTCTAGATAAATCCAGTAGATATGCAAAGCTTGGAACAACCATTGTACTGCAGTGTCCTCCAGAAAGATATAATCTGACAGTATGGAAGGTGAACTTTAACAATGGAATGCATTGCCATTTATCATTTAAGAGAGAGAACAATACCATAGCCAGAAACTGCAGTATGGACATGGATTGGGTATCTAGACCGGAAGAAGATTCTGCTGTTAGGATAAAATCATTTCAAATGTCCAGAGAAGGAATATATAGGTGTTTCATTGCTACTGCTAAAGGAATGTTAAACCATGAATATAAAGTATCTTTATCAGGTAAGAAACAACATATTTAAAATCATTGTCTTGGATTGTTATAGTCAGAACTATTATAGTCCTTTTTCATACATTTATGTCATTTTTCAGGATATTTCAAAACAGTTTAAAATATTAAAATGCAAACTTATAAAATATATTTTTATGATTAACACATTTGCTTGTACTTGTTCTTGTAATATCCTGTTTCATTAATGTGTTTAAGGCACAGTGATACCTTCAGCATTATTAGTTTAAGATGGCACTTATTATGGTAGGCTTCCCTCAGGTGTTTCAACAGTCTTTGTTTACATTTATTGCTAATGTTTGCAATCCGTTATCTTCCACCATTCTTCTGCTTTCAGAAGTGTGGAGGAATAACTGCAAATTGTTATGGAGTATCAGCCGATTATTATCTTCATTTAAACCTGACAAAATGTAGGAATTGCTAATTTTTGAAAACATAAAGAATTTGAAGTTCCATCTTCCATATTTTTCAAATGCCAACATATATATGCAATATTCCTATAACTCATCAACAAATCTTAACCAGTTAGTGGGTCATGGTTAGAATAGAATAGAATAGAATAGAATAGAATAGAAGAGAAGAGAAGAGAAGAGAAGAGAAGAGAAGAGAAGAGAAGAGAAGAGAAGAGTTGGAAGGAATCTTGGAGGTCTTCTAATCTAACCTCCTGCTTAGGCAGGAAACCATATACCATTTCAGACAAATGGTTATCCAATCTCTTCTTAAAAACTTCCAGTGTTGGAGCATTTACAACTTCTGGAGGAAATTTGTTCCACTGCCAGGAAATTTCTCCTTAGTTCTAGGAGAACTAGTTCTCCTAGAACTCCTCTAGTTCTCCTTAGTTCTAGTTCTCCTTGATTAGTTTCCATCCATTGCTTTTTGTCCTGCCCTCAGATGCTTTGGAGAATAGCTTGACTTCCTCTTCTTTGTGGCAGCCTCTGAGACATTAGAACATTTTTATCAATGTTTCAATCTTGCTGTATCATTCCAATTCCTATAGGTATTCTTAGAATATTTTGGGATCATAAAACATTTATATTTATCAGCCCATCATGTCCTGAAGCATGGCTAGATCTCACAGATATTATCTTTTTATTACTCATGCAATGCTCACACATGGAACATTTGGCAAAACCTCCAACCCATCTTTCCTTCAGCAATCTGGGGAGAGGCTTTCCGTGATGGTTTTTATGAGCAATAGAGCAATTTTGTTATCAGCACTGCAATTGACCGAGGGGATTAACACAGGGTTGACTGATGATTAATTTGTGATGTTGTAAGAATGGAAAACTTGATAAGAGGAGGGAATGGAAAGGAGGGAGGGAACACTTGCCATACTTTTTTCTACATTCATAGACAGAAAACCAAGCTAAGAAAAGAAAAACTCATGCAAAACTAAGTATGTGGCAGCAACATAAACATATATATTATTGATTGTAAAGTCACACCTAGAATTCTACATCCAGTTTTGGTGACCACATTATAAAAAAGATGTTGAGAGAGACTCTAGAAAAGAGTGCAGAGAAGAGCGACAAAGATGATTAGGGGCCTGGAGACTAAAATATATGAAGAACAGTTACAGAAACTGGGTATAACAAAGATTCAAACAACTAAAAGAATAAAATATTTAGGCATCTGGCTCACCGCAAGAGGTTCTTCGATTAAACATGACAATTATGATAAATTATTATTACAAATTTAAAAAGATTTAGATAATTGGAAAAACTTACAAATTTCACTCATGGGAAGAATTGTCACGATTAAAATGAATATCCTGCCCAGAGTCTTATTCCTCTTCCAGGTTATACTAGTGAAATTAGATAAAATCTTTTTCAATACATTAAACAAAACAATTACAAAATTTATATGGCAGGAAAAAAGACCTAGAATCAGATTAAAAACTTTGCAAGATTTTAAAGATAGAGGAGGACTAGCACTGCGAGAGTGGGAGATAAACTACCAAGCGGCAAGCCTAGTATGGTTGAAAGAATGGATGGAATTGAAAAATCAAAGAATATTAGTAATTGAAGGGCATGACTTGCAAGTGGGATGGCATGCATTCCTGTGGGATGATAAATACAAAACACATTGATATTTTAAAAGACATATATTAAGGAATGCATTGCTACTGATTTCGACTAAAATTAAAAAACACCATTATACAAAATTACCAATTTGGATTTCCCCTACAGAAATATTAATACATCCAAATTTAATAGAATGGGACAGGATAATTAGGTACAGGGATATTCTAAAAGATCAAGGAAAATTAAAAATAAAACAAGAACTAGAACAAGATTTAAAAAGAGAAATAGATTGGTGGACATACATACAAATTCGGTCAAAATACAAAGAAGTCATAAAATTGAATGAGGTACAATTGGAACAAAATGAATTGGATAAAATTATACAAGGGACGGAGCAGAAACTAATTAGTAAAATATATAAATTTTTACTACGGTATAAAATGGAAGAGGAAATAGTAAAAGTTACAATGATTAAATGGGCGAAAAATTTTAATCATACAATAGAATTAGAGAAGTGGGAAAAGATGTGGCAAACAAATATTAAATTGACACTGTCGATGGCATACAAGGAAAACCAGATGAAGATGTTTCACAGATGGCACTTACCACCGGCAAGAATAGCTAAGATGTTCCCTAATAAATCCCCATTACATTGGAAGTGTAAAAACAATTACGGAACATGTTTTCACCTCTGGTGGAGATGTCCAGCGGCAAAAAAATTTTGGGCCAAAATCAAAAAGTGGTTTGAGAAAATAATACAACAAGCGATAAATGGAAAACCTGAGATATTCCTACTAGGGATATTCACAGAAAAATTTACAAAGGAAGTAAAATATTTAATATTACATATTTTAACTGCCGCTCGTATAGTCTATGCCCAGAATTGGAAAAAAAATGTACCATTTGAAGACGAGTTAATAAAAAGTTTTTTGGAATGTGCCGAGATGGACAAACTGACAAAAGAACTTAAAGAAAAAGAGGATACAGAATACTATAGGACTTGGCACAAGTGGTATAAGTGGTTGGAGGGAAGGAAAAATGAAGAAGAAAATTAGGGGGGAAAGATAGAAATGTTAAAAAAGACAGAAAGGATATGTTAAAGTATAAAAAATAGGAAATAAATATGAATGAGAGAAATACATTGTATATATAGTAATTAAAATGTCGGGGTCAAGTAGTAAATCGGAATAATACAAAGAAGGGGAAATTGTGAATAACAAAGAAGATCACCATGCAATAGCTGTAAAGAGAGTGTGTTTATAAATGTTCTATGTCTTGTATTGTTATATTGTGTTATAAAAATAATAATAATAATAATAAAAAGAAATGGTATAGTCTCCTGCTTGAGCAGGGGGTTAGACTAGATTACCTACAAGGTCCCTTCCAACTCTGCTATTCTGATTGCTCAAATACATGCTTTTTTCTAGTGATTCCTACTTCTCAAGGTTATTTGGTGTGTTCTTAGTTCTTTGTTCTATCATGTGCTTACTGATGAGTAAATGTGGCTGGAAATCTGATAATAAAATACCTCTCACACTAAATGGGTGCTATCTTGGTAAATGTAATTAATTATTTCTTATATGTCCCGTTTCATTTTAGTGTCTCCACAAGTGTCCTTGACTCATGCCAATGGCACTGCCGTGTGCAAGGCGGCTGCAGGAAAACCAGCTGCAGGGATATCCTGGAATCCACCAGGAGACTCTCAAAATGTGACTGAAATATTGCCAAATGGCACAAAGACCATTACCAGTACATATAATGTGCAAAATGTTAATGAGGATAAGCTTACATGCGTCATCTCCCATCCTACTGGGGGAATGTCACTTATCTTAACTCTACCAGGTAAAATTTAAGCATTTAATCATCAGTTTCACTAGCTAAGTCACATTCGGTTTACAGTAATCGGGAGGTCTCTGTTCTTTGTTGACATTTTAAATGTGAATAAGTAATACATCAGACTGTCTCTTTAGCTCAGTGCTATTTACTCTGATGGACAAAGGTTTTTAGAATCTTTCCTATCATCACACATGGTCTACTACTGGGCTATGGTCCTTCCTTAACTGGACTGATCCTCCTTCAATCATTCTCACATGTTAATGAAACAGATTTTCATTTTTCTCTAGTTCTTTGCTTAAGCCATGGGAATTGAGGAAAGGCTGTGCTTATTATTAAACTATTGATATAGGTACTATTTATGAAATTATTTCAGAAAGTAAGAATAATGAATGCTCTTAATACTAACAATAAAGTACTCTTTAATATTTTCTTCAAACAATTAGGGTGGCTAGATAGTGATTGCCTTTCTGCCTAAATTGCACAGATTGAAAATTCCAGTTACTTTTATGGAAAGGTTGGATGTTTGCATTCCTATTTGTTTTTATTGCTATGACTTCTTACAGCCGTGATGGCGAACCTATGGCACACGTGCCCAAAATGGCTTGCAGAGTCATGTCATCTATCACACGCAGCATCGCCCATTCCTCTTCCGGGTTTCTGGTGCTCATGCGCACGTGATGACCAGCTAGCCTTTGTGTGTGCGGCAGTGCCAGAAACCAGAAGAGCTGGTTTTCCGTTTCCTGGAATGTGAATGCGCGCCGGCCAGCTGATAAGCACATGTACATGCGTGGCAGTAACTGGAAGACTTGCTGGCCGGTGAGCATTTGCTTCCCGGAAATTGGAAGTGCCTTATCCGGTGCGAACATGTTCCCTGGGCAACTCTTCTTCCTGGTCGCGGCCGTAACAAGCACGCGTGCGAAGTGTTCCCTTTTTGGCACTTGGTGCCGTGTAAGCACGTGCACACTCCCTTTTCGGCACCCAGTGCCAAAAAGGTTTGCCATTAAAGCAATAAAGATTTCACAATGAATACAAAGTCTTGTGTGTCTTTGTATCCAAAGTCTTAAATAACCTTTTTAATTAGAAAACATGAATCTGTCTAGGAACATATCTAAATTATCATTAGTCATTCTATTTCCTTTTCTTACCCCTTTTTGTTTATTTAATATAAACAAAACAAGGCTTTAATCTCTCCTATTTATTATTTCTCACACTTTACAAATTCTCAGGTAGAAATGAAAAAAAGGAAAGTTCTACCATGATAATTCTCTATAGCTGTCTTACTGGTCTTTTGGGAATATTTGGATTTTCACTTTCCATCTATCTCTGGAGGTTCTGTAGAAGGTATGTATGCCAAGTTTTAACTTAAATCAACTCATGTTTCTTTCATTATTTATTGGAGTTGGTCACGGCAACATTTGTGGGAGTAGAGCAGCGGTGGGTTGTCCCCGGTTCGGACCAGTTCACAAGAACTGGTAGTAAAACCAGCGGGAGTTCCTGCCCACTGCTCCGGATGTCGTCATAGTTGATCTGCGCATGCGTAGAAGCTTCTGCGCATGTGTAGAAGCAAGGTGTGCGCGCGGTCCTGTTGCTAACTGTTAGTAAAGATAAGTAGAACCCACCCCTGAAGTAGAGGCATTGGGAAGATGGCAGGCAGAACATTGCAATACAAGCCTTTAGAACCCACACAAAAGGGGAGGCGCTTGTATCATGTCACTCTGCCTGGTCTTCCCCCACCCCCTTGCAGACACTGCTGGAACACCATGAGCATCAGCTCGGTGTACTACTGCAGTAGTGAAACCATTAAACTTGAAATGGTGCAGTGTTGCTTGTGCAATGAAATGTAAAATGAAGGGAAAAGCAAAAGGGGAAGGAGTTATGGCAGAATGATGGTAATTGTACAGCAGGAGATAGGACTCAGAATCATGAAGGAAGTGGTAAACTGTCCCTTCATTTTAACTCTGCAAACGTTGCATCTTTTGTTCTGAGGAAAGGATGGTTAAACTGAAAAAACACTTTGTTGTAAGTGGTATAAATTTGAAATGCCATTTTTTTTTTATTTAACATAACTCATTTGCTGTGGCATTTATTGAGAGAAGGGGATCTGACTATTTTCCTTCCTCCTCCTGTCATCGCAGCAAAAGAAAAATCAGTGCAACTACAAATATAGAAACAGTTTCAGGACAAAACGTCCAGGTAAGACCAAGGAAACAATAATTGATCTGTTTCAAACTAGCCTTTAGGTTTTTTTTGTTTTTTTTTTAAATGATTGTTGGCATTGTAAAGTTCACAATAACTTTTAGGAGGCCCAGGCTGTGATTTATACATGCTTGTCATCATATTAAGATTCAGGGGAGAAGACTATTAAATATCTTTAATGATTAATTAGTTAATTTCAGTACTTACTTAGATTTACTGTAAATTAATTTAAATCACAATTTGCTTACGCCTTGACCTAGCCATCTTTTTGGAATACAGTGTCTAGCAATGCAGTTCAACAGATAAAAGTGACTCTTGGCTTGAAAACAAAGTGCCATTCCCTACTTATGGCAGGTAGTATGCAAGTAATTCTAATACCAAAGCCTGGAGCTGCTGAGTCACAGCCACCTCTGTGAGTTGCAAGCAATACAGTTTCAGTCAATAGAATACTTGTAGTTTTAAAGGCCTTATCTGATGGATCACTGATGGTGAGATACAAGAAAGGAAACTGTAAGGCTTAAGATGCAAGGGCCTTCTCTGAGTCAGAGATCTACAGTTAGTCCTCGACTTACAGTACAACAGTTCATTTAGTGACCAAAGTTACAACGGCACTGAAAAAAAATGGCTTATGACCATTTTTCATACTTATGACCATTGCAACACCCTCATAATCATATGATTTATATTTGGATGCTTGACAACTGATCCATATTTATGATGGGTGCAGTGTCCCGGGGTCATGTGATCATCTTTTGCAACCTTCTGGCAAGCAAAATCAGTAAGGAAACCATATTCACTTAACAAGTGTGAATGAACAAGAATAGGGTGTGTTACTAATTTAACAACTGCAGCGATTCAGTTAACAAATGTGGCTAGAAAAGTCATAAAAGTGACAAATTAACAAATTTGTCACTTAGCACCATAAATGTTGGGTTCAATTGTGGTCGTAAGTCAAGAACTGTACTGGCACCCATGCAGAAACAAGTATTTGGCAAGACGATGCCCTTTCCAAAACAACAAGGAGACTCAAGTTTACAGTTATGTTAGTAAACAATAGACTTAATTATCATACCATGTTTATGAGCTGTTTTTTAGACATTCTTCTTAATATTCTCTCCCATTCCTCCTTCCTTTTTAATGAAACATCCTTTATTTAATTCTTGTAACAACTTTCAAGTTTAAATACAGAATCTGATATGCTTTGTCAACCCAAGTTTCATAAAGGAAATAAGTGCAACAAGCAATCAAGACTGAATAATCAACAACAAGCTTTAAAGGAATCAGCTTCCTGTTAAATGAATTGTTCAAGTTATTAATATTTATTGACATCTTAGTTTAACCCATGTTATCCTTAATTTACAGTTTGAGTATTTTAGAGATTACAGTTATATAGACTTGACTTTGCTTATTCTGATTTTACTTATTCTGATTTTGAGGTTGCTCCCTACTGTTTATCATAATTAGTAGACCCTTGCTAACATCTTTCTTTGAATAAATGAATACTTTTTTTCCATAATCAATATTTCCAAATGGAATGTAGCCATACACTTTTATTTATGCTTTATAAATATGATGTCAAGAATGTCAAGTCTTTATGTTTCTTAAGCACATGTTATTTTCTTAAGCACATGATAATGATTTTAATATTTTCACTCACTTTTAACAGAGTTAGTTTGCAATATCAATTATATTATAGCCATTTTATTTATTAAAATCTAAATTTCCTCTTTGGTCTACAATGGAATTAATTCTAAACACTTTCTGAATCGCTAGTAATTCATCTGCATCAAAATCCAGATAATTTGTACATTTTGTCTTTTCATATTGTCAAGTAAACTTTCCCTTCCAAAATCATCTTGTAATTAAATATCTGTACTTTCTTGTTCGCTGTAAACAATTTTTGCATTTTTTTTCTTTGCTATGCTTCAATTTTTGTTGGACAATGCCATAATTTTTATTTGTCTTACTTTCAAGAACCTCCATCTGATTTGAAAGAATAACTTTTAACACTTTCATTGTAGATAATGAAATATCAATCTTGATTCTTATTGGCTTTTCTCCTTTTTCTCTCCATCCAATTTGGAAGTTCTTGCATCCAATGTTTCCCTGCTCATTAATGATCACTAGTTTCCTACTAATTAATAATCACTAATAATCACCAATTATCAGTAGTAATGCCCTTTACAACAAACAAAAAGCAAATCAGATAATTATCCCAATAATACCTCTTCAATCAGCAGGACAGTATTTGAAGTATCATACAATAGGGAACCCAATTTAATTTTTATATATCAGCATATAAACAGGGAATAATAAACAGTTTGAACAAGCTATAAATGCTTGTATAACAAGCTATAAAACAATAATAACATGAAATTAGTACATGAAAGCTGTTAAGATGCGGCTAATTCACTAATTAATGTTATGTGTTGAAGTTTCTTCAATATGTTTACTCCCTGATCAACTCTGAATGCTGGATTCAACTTTTTTCAGTTTAGTTATTCAATCAACATAGTCACTTTTACCACAACTTGTGCTTAAAGCATGCCCACAACAGCAGTCAGCAAAGTTTCTTACTTATCACTGCCATAACAATGGAAACTGTATTCTACTAGAAAATGAGTACCGCAGCAAGTCAAAACTGGTGGGCACAGTACATATATAAATCTATCCTCCAATGTTTTAATCATGTAATAAGTCATACATATCTGAACCCTGGTGATGCAGTGGTTAGAATACAGTATTGCAGGCTAACTCTGCACACAGTCTGGAATTCAATTCTGACGGGGCTCGACCTGACCCAATCTTCTATCCTTCTGAGGTCAGTAAAATGAGGATCCAGATTGTTGGGAGCAATATGCTGACACTGTAAACTGCTCGGAGAATGTTGTAAAGCACCTTTGAGTGATATATAAGCTTAAGTGCTATTGCTGTAATTTTCCCTTTTTCTCCATATAAAAAAATGAAAAAAACTAAAACTTGTTTCTAACACAGCAGTACTGGACTCAATTAGATGACTGGGCTGTCTTCCAAAATAAAATCCCCACAGGCTATGAGAGCATCTCCCCAAGAAGGGAAAAAAAAGAAAAAGGATTATGGTCTACTGTTACTTTAATTGAACCTAGTTACAATCTTAGATAACAAGCAAAGGGGTCCCAGTTTAGGAATCCATGGCTTAACTCTTGTCTCTAATTCTAGAAGGATCTTCCCTATTTCTCCAGGCCTGCCATCCACTGTAGTTAATCTGCCACAAAGCACTGTGACAGAAAATAATAATCGGAAGACTTTTTATATTTAAAAGATGTTCTAGTATCTTCCAGTAAATGTGCCATTTTCAAAATCCTTTACAACTTTATTTCAGAATAGCTATACTTTCAAATATTCCAAACAAAATTTTAGATCTGAGAATACTAGGATTAAAAAGGAACGAAAGAAAGAATAAGCCTCTTTTGGTAAAAAAAGAAAACAAAATTGAAATTTGTATGCTGTTACCCACAATATGTAACTATACTTGTACATAAGGTGTGGGGGTGTAGTTTTGTAGGGCTGGGAGATGTATAATGAGAAGTCAAAATGTCACCTGTGTTATAAAACATGGATTCAGTAACCAATTATAATGATTAGTAACTCAGTGTGTTATGTAATGGAAAAATCCAATCATGTAAAGGAATTGATGCCCTATATTTCCCATCAGGTATAAGTGAAATATAAACAGTGCATATAGAATGAAAGAAAAAAAAATAGAGAGGGTTATTAATGCTTCCTTTTTAAAAGAATGCTTTAAAACTTTATTCAGAAGATGTCATGCCTTTTCTTCTCAAAATGTTTTCTTGTTTTATAGGAAAATGATGTGGAACCATATGCTACCTTTGTGCAAGTGGAAAATGTAATATATGATAAAGCATGTAATTTCTCGTCAGGCTAATACCTATGATCTTTCACTTTCAACATAAGACAGCATCAGATCTGAACTGAGAGGAGAAGTATGTAAGGGCAAAATGCGTTAATTACAGTGAATGGCAACTTATTTTTTTCTCCAATTCTTGGAGACTGCCTGGACAAGTCCCTGCAGTTTTCCTGGCAAATTTTTCAGAAGTGGTTTGCTGTTTTCATGTTCTCAAGATCACCAAGCTGGCTAATTTATGCTGAAGGCAGGACTAGAACTCGGTTTCTTGGTTTCTAGCATCATGCCTTAACCACTACATCAGACCAGCTCAAAGTGAATGGCAATGGCAGTAACTTTAAACCAATCTTTCCACTGAACATGTTGACATTTGCCTAAATAAATATCTATTTCTCTTTAAGCACCACAGATTCTTCTAAGATCTCTACTGGCTTCTTCTGTACTGGGCACTTACTTTCTCTCACAAAGACTAAAATATCAGTTTAGAAAGCTGATATGAAAGTCATAAAAAAGTGGATATTCTTCTACCATCATTCTGCTGAATGATGAGTGAGCTGAATCTGAAGAGCTCTGGGACTCAAGTAACTACAAGACGATTATTCAGGAAGTATTTATATTGAAACCTGGTTTACTTCCTCTCTATGGATATGTCTAGCTTTCTATACTCCCGCACTGCAATCAAACATCTGCAATTTCTAAGCATTAAATTTAGTTTGCTGTCTTTGAAAAGGCATGAAAAAAAAGCCTTACCGAGATTTTGTAGACTTTTTGACAGACTGCCTGTTGTTGTTTTTACAGTGGGTGAGATTGCTATTATTTTAAGTGATTCAAGAAGCACACAGTATACTCCTCTAAATGACTTGACATTTACAGTCAGAATAAGTGAAGATAGTGGAAAGAAAGCAGAATTTGGTCAAAATATTTTCCTTGATGTTTGGTCTTCTTCTGGCATTTTTGAAGTGTACATAATTACACAAAACTAAATTAGGTTAACAGGAAGGCTTGGGCCAATTACTCATTATATGCAAACACATATAAATAAACCTTAATTGCCACCTTTTGTAAGTGAGATCAGTTTTGACAGAATGTGATTTTGAATGTACAGAAAGTTTATACAGAGAGCTCTAAGGGAGGATATACAATGAGATTTGTTTGGATTTGGAATTTAAATGATTTTTTTTCAAAGTAGCTCACCAATTTGAAAGGAAAGTCTATTAGAAAAACATTTTCACAAACAGATGCATAACTATAAAAGAAGTATAAAAATGCAATCAGTATAAAAATGGAATCAGTTAATTTGCTTGCAAAAAGTGCACACATTAAGGAAAATTGCACATACAATCCACATGATAAATGTGCAGCTATCTATGATCTAAATTTATAGGAGGAAAAATTAAAAATCAAAAGAAAACAAAGCATGTAGATTCACCCACCCGTACTTTTCTCCCTCCACTGTTCAAATAAACTGTTCAAAATGGTTCCACAAATGACTACTGGCCACTGGCTTGCTTTCTTCTGAAGCCCTTCTGGATAGATACAGATTTGAATTCTGGGAAGGAGAGTGGCAGAATATGTGGCGCATGAAAAGAACAATATACAAAATTCAGTGAAGTTAGAGTTCAGTGAAGTTAGAAGTCAGTAAGAGAAAAACAGCCCTTTGAGATGCCAGAATATTGTTATATAAACAATAATGGAAATACATTATTTGCCAAAACACTGTTGCTGTGGTTGGATTCAAATTTGACTTTCTACAACACTGTATATCATATTTGACTGAAAAGGAGATTATTTTTTCTATCCACAAATAATCTGAATTCTTTCGCTCCCTCCCTCCCTCCCTCCCTTCCTTTCTTCAAATTATTAGGAGCCACTAGATGGCATATTAGCCTAAAGCTCAATTAAATTGTGGGAACTTCTCCATGTAGAAAGCCTGGAAAAAAGGTTTCCTAAAGAACTTTTGAAAAGGAATTACAACATTTGTCCCCTTCACCATCATTTCCTTCCATGGCGTCCTAGACACATTAGGCTATGAAAGCAGAACTTAGAAAGTAGCTTTGTTTTAGTCATGGTGATGTTGGTTATTAGTACATTGCAACATTTCTTTGATGGTATTAGTTAGCAAATCCATAAACCTCTCCTATGTGATGTAGGAAGATTACAGCAGTGATCATTCACATTATCGCTATAATCAGTGAATGGCTATATGTTTTTCATGGAAACCAAAGTGTTTCAAATTGAGTTGATTTTTTAAAAAATTAATATCTTGCAGTTGCAAAATTACTAAGCATTATGCTTTATAGAAGAATGTGTGACCGCAAATTGACATTGAACTTTTTTTCTTGTTTTTACTTTTTAGAGGAAATGAAATAAATGACGAGTGGTTTTCCTAAACTCAGACAAATATCTTTGGAAGAACCAGGGCCTATAGATACCCAAATATTCATTAGAACCTGAAAGATATTTTAAGGGTTTTAACCTTAAACAGAGCTTAAGGTTTTAACAGAGTAACCAATAGTAAGAGATACTATAAGTGACAGCCAAAGGTGTCCAGATCATTTACACTGTAATCCATTCATTGCCTTGTTAGTTTAAAGAATTTTTTGTGAAACAAAAGGTAGGATATTACAAGCATGTACCCCATTTCTGAATAGTAACACAATTGAGCCCAGAATTTATGTTGCTGAAAAATTTATTAAGTGAGTTTTTTCCCATTTTACAACTTTTCTCGCTACATTTGTTAAGTGAATCACTGCAGTTGTTAAATTAGTAACATGGTTGTTATGTGAATCTGGCTTCCCCATCGACTTTGCTTGTCAGAAGATCGTAAAAGATGATCACATGGCCCTGGGACGCTGCAACTGTCATAAACAGGAACCACTTGTCAAGCATCTGAATGTAAATCATGGGACCAGGGTAATGCTGCAGTGGTTGTAAGTGTGAAAAATGGTCATGTCACTTTTTTCGTTGTAACTTTCAACCGTCACTAAATGCACTGTTGTAAGTCAAGGACTACCTGTACTCTCTTTCCCATCAGATTTCTAGGTAAATGTCATGCCCATTGAAGCAATGAGCAGTTTCTCCACTTTCTCTGCCTTATCTTAGCCACTTTATGTTTCCTGCCCATTCAGGCACTTTCAACAGTATCATTCTTAATTAGACACCCCTCCCAATCATCTACATATAATTATTTTGAAGAAAAAAAGATCATCCTTCAGACTTAGCACATGGAAAAGATCCCATTGCCTAATGAAACATGAAACTAAATGCAACCTGGGGCTCTTTGTGATTTGAAACCCATCAATTTTCTGTAAATTTCAGTACAGATACTCCTCGACTTACAACAGTTTATTTGGTGACCATTCAAAGTTACAACAGCATTGAAAAAAAGTGTTTCATTTTTATGACTATTGCAGAAGCCCCATGGTCACATAATCAAAATTCAGACACTTGGCAACTGACTCATGTTTATGAAGGTTGCAGTGTCCCCTGGTCATGTGGTCACTTCTTGTGATTTTCTGACAAGCTAAGTCAATGGGGAAGCCAGATTCACTTAATAACCATGGTACTAACTTAACAACCACAGTGATTCATTTAACAATCGGGGCAAGAAAGGTTGTAAAATGGGACAAAACTCACTTAACAACTGTCTCGCTTAGCAATAAAAAATTTGGGTTCAATTGTGGTGGTAAGTCGAGGATTCCCTGTACTTTGTCTAGTACTTTGTTTCCTTTTAAATTGGAGAACTGCATGGCAATTTTCTGTGAATTTTAAAGAGGAAATTACATATTTTGAAACTGTAGAATTAGAATAAATTCACGTTTAAGGACAATAAAAAACACAACCCTATAACCTAAAAGATTAGTATCTCCACTGTATCCTTTTCTACAACTCTATGCCTCAAAGGTTCCCTTTCAAAACAGATCTTCTGTCAGATATTGCCTGCATATGATGCACCAGAGACTAGAAGGGGTTAAGTCTTTAAAGACATCACATGTGACTATATCAACCAATGAACTCTCTTATTGGACTCTTACCTAGAAACTACTTGGACATCTTCCCCTTTCTCTCTCTCTCTCTCATCTATCTCTCAGTGAGAAAACACTTGGACTTCTCTCTCCTCTCAACATCTGAGTCATGCAGTTAGGGTAAAAATGTAACAGGGCATCCTGTTCATTATCGTATGCATGTATATATTTGTAAATAATAAAAACAACTTTTTGAACCTGAAGCTGTATTGACCAAATGACTTCCTCATAGAACCAAATGAACACGACCATCAATATATATCTGATATCTTCTTTATTAAAAAGTGGCCTCTGACTAATTTGCATGTAGTGTGTAATTAGCCATAGCCTTCCAATTACTGAAATCTAGGATAACCTACTAGAGCACTTCAGAAATTATTGGGAGTTTTGCCTTCCTTCTGCTTTTTGGCTTATACATAGATGCCATTATGCTTGCTTGTTCCTTAAGACTTTGTGCATCAAATCCCCCGGAGTCTATTGCATGTTGTCAAGTTGTTTTTAAAGGTAGCAATGTGTATTTGTTGTACTCTGGGCTCTGGCAAAGCATGAAAAGAAATCTTTAGAAAGCTGTAAGTAATTCACTGACGCCAAACTCTTCCTTAGCTCAAATGAGCTTATTTAGGCAGTCTATCCAGAACCTTGTGAAATCTCAGTAAGACTGTTGCCCTTTTGAAAAACAGAACACTAAATTTAATCCTTGCAAAGATTAACCGTTTTTATGAAATTGTTTGAACACAGAAAACACATAGACCTAAGTACACACAAGATGTAAAAAAAATGTCATCATGAATTATTCTGGACACGGATATTTTACCCTAGTGGAATTTATGGCTGTATAAATCTGAATGTGAGCAAAGATGGTACTCCCCTTTTCTTGCCTGAGTGTTGCCATTACATATTTTTAAGTGCACAGCTGCAGAAACTCTAACACAGCTTGCTTTCCTGCCTTCTGGATTTACAGTATGAATAAGTAAAATTCAGATGACTAGTCCAGTAGATGCCAGAGAAGGTTGAAGCCAGCCTGCAAAGTATTTAATACAGCTGTACCACAAACATGCTAGGCTTTTTAAAGTTTAAGCAAAGGTGTTTTTTTTTCTTCAATTATTTCATGCAATTTTTGAAAAAATTGATTTTGTACAGAGTTGTGAAAATTTGTAGGATCAGTGAAAGTGATTAAGATAAACTACACATAAAAGAATAACATATCCTCCTTGTAAAAATACCACAAACAAACAAACAAACAAATAAACAAACAAAGTAACAAACAGAAAATACTGTCTGGAAGAAATAGAACAATAGTAGCTTTAAGACTCACTCAGAGATCTGTGCTTAATATTAATTTAATAAAGCTGCATTTGATATACTTTCTCCTAACATTTTAGCCTATAAGTGTTATATCTATTGATGTTTATAATTGCAGAAATCTATTTGCTTTTTAAGACTAATTCCAAATGGTATTTGCCACTTTTATGCTTCTCTTTGTGCTATTATACAAATATGTGATCACCAATTCCCACTCAAAGACCAAATCTGAAAGTTTATTTAATACTTATATAAAGTCTTGTCTACATCTTAATATAATGTTTTGTATGCAATTTTTGGTTTGAACAACAGTGAAAAGAGACTTCCCTGAAACTTTTAAAAATTGTAATCCCTCCTATGGTATATACCTCATAACTGAATAGAAAAATATTCAGATTTACAAATCCTAATCTGAGGTTCATTTTTTCATCTTTGGAGATATGGTGGCTGGTTCGCAAGACATATTGAATCACAAATTAGCCAATTATATTTCAGCTTTGTATTTTTTTATGAACCTAATCTGTGTGGTTAGGTAATAGTTTGGTGAATTTGGATTACAATCCTGGTGTTTTTATAGCATGTGTATTGAACAAGGTGACTGACTATGTGAGGGATGTTCTCACAATTAATATTTCAACAGATTCCTGATTGTATTTTTTAAAAAAACCGTTACTGCCTTTTCAACAAAGTCAGCTTTCTTTCTCCTTTTCTGAGTCACCATCCCTAAGAGGGT